TATTAATAATAGTCTGTGATTGTAATGTGAAAGTGTTATCTTAGTGTTAAGATTATGATAACTAAAAAAAAAAAGTGTTCTCCCTCAAATGGTGTTTTGTAAGCACTGGATCTTTTTCCATCTTGAAGTTTTTGTCTGTAGACTCTCCAGAGCTGTTTGTATTTTTCAACTCTCCAATTTAAAGCAGTTAAGGTTTTTCATCTTCAGAGATTCACCACCTATTAGATGTGTTTAGTTGAATCACTTATTTTTTCTCCAATTAATACCATATAGATTTCACATACTGTGTATGAATGTATTCTCCCTCTCATGATTATTCTCTATTACTCTGCTTGTGTGTTCAGAATTTTGAAGTAACAATCTTTCTTCCTCATGGTGAGTGGCCGCTTTCTATGGAAGTGGCTCCCTGAAATTCATAAACCCTGTCAGGGAGTCCATACAAGGACTAACAAGTTGGAGAAGTCCCAGGCACTTGCTGTGGAAAGCTTTAAAAGGGGAATAGGCTAAAGCACCTATCAGAAACTGTTGGGTTTTGCCAAGTTTTTCTTAATTATTTTTTAATAAAAACAGACTCTCCAATTCTGACAGCTGCACACTGCTGACCTACAGCATGCTTCAGGCACTGGAATTCCTATAAGATTCCTAAAATAATTGTAATGGACGCTTGTGATGGGGCGTGTGTTGAGTGTGGATCATGGCGGCCAGGTGCAGCTGTAGGCCCTGAGGGAGGGGGCTCCTCTGGCAGGAGGGGGTTCTCCTCACCCAGTCCGTTGCAGCCCAAATCACCTGGTGAAAAACTCAGGTGTTGATTCATCTTCCAGACTGGTGAGCTCGTGGTTCTGAGAGGTTCAGTTAGGTGGGGAAGGGTTTCCAGTCAAACTCTTCAAAAATCAAGAGTGTTTATAAAAAGGTTGATTTAGCTTTTGTTTGCCGTCTGCATCTGAGTCAGAATCCTATGCAAGGACAGTTCCGTGCAAGTAAGACTTTTTTTCTTTTACTGCAAAACTCAACGTTGTGCAGGGCAGTGGCAGCGCAGGTGCTGCCCCAGCCGGCCTCACCGGGACGGGGGGGAGGCAAGAGACCTGCTGTGGCCGCCTCCACTTCCTCGTTTGTGTTGATTTTTAACAGAAATTAAATTGCACTTCAAAACATGTGGGGGGGAAAAAAAATAATACATATATATGTGTGTATACATATATACGTATTAAAGAGACCGTCGCGTGCCCCAGCCGCCTGGGCGGTTGGAGGGCGGCACGGGCGCGCGCGGCGGCCGTTAGCCGCTGGGGGAGGGGCGGGGGGCCTCTGAGGGGCCGCCGCTGCCGGCCGGCCGGCCGGCCGGCCGGCCGGGGAAAGCGCCGGTAACGGGGGAGGGCGGTGGGGGAGGCGACGGAGCAGCTGCCCGGGCCGGGCCGGCGCCTCAGACCGGGCGGGCGGGAGGGAGGGCTGCAGGCCGCCGCGGTCGGGGCGAGCGGGCCCGAGCCTGTGTGTCTGGTGGAGCTGCAGAGGGGAGGCAGCGTTCCAGGCGGTGCGGGGCGTTTCCACCTCCTTCTCTGCAGGTGTGGGAGGGGGATGTGCAAAATAAGGATAGCTAGGTGATCCTGCGGGCGTGAAAACTCAGCACGCAACTTTGCCCTTCTGGGAAACGCGTGCAAAAACAACACGGGAAGCGCTGAGGCAGTGTCAGGCGGCGTGGCGTTGCACTGCGTGCTCGGCGCAGGATGCGGCTGTCCTGCCTTCAGGTGAACAGCTGGTCAGGCCTTTGTGTTTCCTTAGGGCCACGGTCCGTCTGCCCCGGCCGCGCTGGCAGCGCGCTGTGCCGGGGCAGAGCTGCCCGCCCGCCGGTGCCGCAGCTCGGCATCCGCTTGTGCAACAGCAGGCCGAGCTGCTGAGCGTGTGTTCCAGTATCACTGAAACAGCAGCCAAACTGACAGAGGCAAACGGGGGAACTTGGCAGATACAGGGTATAGCCCAAAGAGAGGGATATAGTTTTTTGAAAAGGAGAATAATATTGCTGGTTTGGTCATAAGTTGCTGTTGTGCAACAGTAAAGCACAAGAACTGTCTCTTCAAAGACGTGACCATGCGAACCTCTGTTCCTGATGTTCAACAAAGGTGTGGCCTTAAAATATGTTGGCAACTGTGGAAGCTCTACTTTTTTTTTTTTTTTTTTTCTTTAAAAAAAATCTTACCTTTACCACAGAGAAGTTTTCTGTGGCTGCAACATGGGCAATTACAGTGTGTGAGCTATCTGTGGTGAGTTCAGACCCTTCCTTACCTTGCAGTAACTTGTTCTTGTCCATGCCCTCAACCTAGTCCTGTTGCTGAGAGCTCTGAATGCTGTTTAGTTTCATTCTGAAGGCTTAAATTGTGCAGAGGTAAATGCTAGGATATTTTCCCATCGTCTGTGTGGTTTACTCATTTTAAATGGTTTTTGACTCCAAAATGTGCCAAGAAATTTATGTCCTCGTGGTGCTTATTTATTAAAACTGTCTTGTTTATGCCAGCAGCTGCTGTAAAAATGTAGTCTGCTGCTTTTCACATAATACGGTATTAAACAGGATTTTTGTTATGTAATATTTGAAAAATAATGTTCAGTTATTGGTGATAGATTGTAATGTTTGTATATTGTCATTGCTGCATAACCTGGACTTTAATGTCAAGATGATGAAAACCTGGGTTAGCACAGGTCATTTGAACCAAAGGAGAGTGTTGGTTTCAGGGTTTCATGGATTGTAAAACAAGGGTGCTTAGGTAATTTTGCTGCTTTGTAATTGTTTGCTGCCTTATGCTGGAAGAACACAAACCCTTCTGTTTGCCAGTACATATTTCTCTTGATGTCATCTCATTGTTGCAGGCCTGTATGTCACTTCCTGCTCAGCAGTGCCTGGGACAACGGTCTGCAGTTACAGTTTGTGGATCTGTGAGTTCTCTGGATGGCTGTTGAGGGATTCTTGAAATGTAACAAAATAAAGCCCACAATTGGTTGTCTGGGTGGCAGCTGTAATAACCAATAGACAGGAATGCAAACCCTTCAACAACTAGTGTTTTTTTTCAGTATGATAGGCTTGTTTTAACCATTGTGACAGATGAGTAGTACTGTTTATCTTGTGAAATGCAAAGGAATGGTTTCTTGTGTTTTGTTACCCTTGAGCAGTGGTTTCAGCAGAGGGACATTCCCAGTGACACTAGGTTTTTGAACCTCTTAAATGATCTACAGTAGGAGCAATGGAATAGGAATTGGTATTAAGTAGGACCCCAAAAGCAAAGACACGTCGTTATTCAGGCAGGCGAAGGACGGGCGCACTGCAGTAAAGCTGAGCCCTGTTCAGGAGCAACCTACACGAATCACACGAAGTCAGGGACATTACTCGTGACAGTGGACTTCCACAATGAAGTATTGTTCAGGGTTATCTCCTATCCTACACTTAGGGTTGAGACAAAGTTTAACGAATAATAAACCTACACAGATTTGGTGGTTTTCTTTTTCTGATTTTCCTGAATGTTTTGAGATCTTTTTGTTTTCTCACAGAATGTGTGTAATTCAGCAAAACACAATTTTAAAGACTTTTTTTTTTTTTTTACACCAAGGAAAAGATTTGTTGTCTTAATGTTTCTGTTGTTAGTGTTAGCACAGACCACCTTAATGCTGCAGCAGTTACTGCTTGATTCCTCTTTTAAAAGAAAAATATAAATCAGTTTGTATGATGCTGTCTTACTGGACAGTCAAAGAAATTGTAACCAAAAGCATTTGTAATTTCAGAGAGCTATTTGCAGACTTCTCCATTCTTAGAGAACCATGCTGAGTATTTCTTTCTTAGAGGAATCAAAGGGCTTTTATGCTTCAAGATTTTCTGTCTCTTATGTTGGGTTTCTTGGGAGGGAGATCCCCAGGTGAAAATATGGCACAAAGAAATAAAGTAGCTTACAACAAAACCTTGTCCTTTTAGATTCCTTAGAGGAGAGTATTTATTCCAACCAGCGTCACTATTAGTTTAATGTTCCAGAATCTTTCTGGTAGCAATTTATGTAGCACTGACACAAAAGGAGGTACAGATTTTAACATTTTTTTTTTTCTTAATAAGCAATATCTTTATTACTGAGATAAAGACTCTACCTTCTATTTTTTTTCAGTTGCTATTTCTGACCATAAAAAACACAAAACCAAGAGTTTTTAGCTAGTTATTTGGGGCTAACTGGAATCTGCCAAATCTATTCATGAAAATGCCTTCCCACATATGTCAAAGTATTTTAAATGAAAGGGGTCTGTGCTAGAGTTTCTGTTTATTACACAATAATGAATTTACAGTTTTGCAAGTCTTTTCCTATTGTCTTTTAACTTTTACTTTCAACAGGTTTGAGATTAAAAAAGAGTGAGGCATGGGTCTTGTGTGCACATGGGGTAGAACAGGCGCTGTGAAATTACTTGGTGGAGTTGGAAAACCAACACAGATTATGAAGAGGGACTGTATTTAATGATCCCTAAATTCCTACCTTTTGTATTCTTGCTACCAAAATCGGGGTAAGGATGTATGTTCAGAGCCTATAAATGTTTGGAGGGTGTCCACAGAATAGAGGATTTAGCATAAAACACAAGGGTAGCACACAGAGTACTGGCATACAGAGTGCTGATGAGAACACTGTGAATTCCTTCCTAGCAGACTTGACTGTTAAGTAGAAAGACCAAATACTTTTAAGAAAATGGAGTGAAAAAGTCTGTGTGAAACGTGCATTCAATTTGATGTGGAAATTGTTTAGCTGTTTCCAGGGCTGCCTCTTAGGTACAGATTGGGTGGGTGTCTTGATTAGATAGGAACAATAATATTCCTAAACATTTTGTGAGTTACTGTGTCAAAATGTGATAGTTTCAGAAGTCCGGCATCTTTTCCTGGGTAATGACATATTAAATTCCTCTGAATGGTGAACTAATGAATGAGGCCACAATTGCTAATTTTATATTTATTTTCAAAACACCAAAGGATACAATTTTTCTTGGACACTGCATTGTAAAATAGTTTTGTTTTTTAATTAAAATGAGGTACATATACTGCCAACCTTGAGCAACGTTTTTTCCACAATGTTTTTTCTCAAAAACAAGCCTAATCCTGTTGCCATGAAATTCTTTTATTCGGTTCTTCTACAGTTAAGCTTTATGATCTAGTTCACAGACAACTGGATGTTTTTCTCCAAAGTGAACGTAGTTCTCCCTTCAGTCAGACTTGTCTGCTCCCCACCCCCATTTTGCAATGTACAGTTCCCACTTGCAGCAATTTCAGTAAACATGGGATCGAGTATAGAGAAATAGCTTCTTCTATAAAATTTCCATTAAAAAAATAACAAGTCTTTATTTACAAAGTATTTGCTACTACAAAGTAATATTTCCTATTGGTTGAAATATACTATTTGCTAATGCCAGTGTTCCTATTAGGAAAGTAAAACTTTGTATATGCATTTTTCTTTATATCTTTGTCAGTGTTTAAAGGACATATAATACTACCACATTATTTTTTACACTACTTCTAGCCATGTACAATGTGGTAGTAGAAATTAACACTATTTGATAAGGACAAAAAAATCAACATAGCTTAATAGCAGTCTTCCTGCAAAAATAAAAATTTAGATTATAATTTAAAGTTACTTGGAAAGGAGGAAATATAGGGATAATTCAAAAATATGCAGCAAATTATTTAAAAGATGAATGGGCAATTTGGACTTTCATGAAGACACAGGAGTTTAGCACAAGAAAAGGGAGAAAAATTTCTGCCAAAGTGTTTGTGTGACACTTTATGCCGGTACATATGTTGGGGGAGGGAGAGAATAAGACAAGTGGATTAAAAATTTAATTAAAACTTAAAATCCCATATAGTTAGCATCCTTATAAACTGGATTTGTCAGTGTTTTTTTTTTCCCACCCACCATGTTTACAAACCCTTCTTTGAGTTCAGCATTGAAAGAAGTCATAAAACAGCTTTGTTCTTAAAAAGAAGAAAAACAAGAAAAAAAAAAGTCTTAATTTAAAAGTTAATGGACTTTCAAGTGGTTTCTGCATTTTACACATAAAAAGGAAGTGTCTCTACAACTTGCTTCCATGCAGAATATAGTAGATGTTAAAAAGTGCTACTGTAATGGGGGGGTCGGATGGCCCTGCCTCTTTTACCTCTTCCTGCATGTTGCAGCGGCTCCGTAACACGTGTCGGTGTGTATGTCAGCATTAACTCACTGACAAGGGATTGATCTGTTGCCAGATCATCTCAAAAGTGCCCCCAGACACGTACCGTTGTAAAAACTGTGCCTGTACTTGCTGTCTAGTTACTCCTGACGCAGTGTAGGCTGTGCAGATACAAAGGTTGGGGCCTTGGTCCCAGGGCATTATTTAGTCAGGACCTGAGGAATGAGGATGAATTCGGATCCTAGATCTTACAGGTTCGTTCAAAGTAGGAGAAATTCTTTCACAGTAGGTACTTGTGAGATACAGTGTCATAACATTTGCATGTACTTCTCTGAAGTACTTTTCATATATACAGCCTGGCTTCAGAGATGAGGGAATGTGTGAGAAACTTGTATGATGGGTTGTGATTCAGCTGGTGTTTTCCTAGGGAAATTCTGGGAGGCCCACTTAATCCCTGCACTAGTGCAACCAAATCTACTAATTGTTAAAGTTACATTAGAGATTTAACAAACCCGCCAAAAAAGCAGGAGACTGATTTTGTGGACTTAACCTTCTCCGGTCAATGTTTTAACTTTTGTGGCTGTTCAGTATAATTGTCAGTGGGAAGCACTATGGATATGTGTTTGGTTTTTTTCCTCTTTGACTGCTTTGGTCTGATGGATGTGCCATTCCTGCTTTGTTGAAGGCACAAGAACCAGACAGTGACAGAGATTAATTTCTCTGTTTCACTCAGCCTGGATAAGAATAGACTAAATACAAGTCACTGTTAAAGATTCATTTTGTCTTGGAGAAAGTTTCCTATATACTGCATAGATAGACGAGTTTGATTGACATCTACAACTGGATTTAAATTTTATATAGCTGTATCCTTCTATCCCATGGTGTTAATATATCTAAAGTGCCTATGCCTGGAGAGTGTTAAGTATTTAAAAACAGCATTTAGAGAAGTCAAGATTAAGTGGTTGCCACTTACTCTAGCCAATACCAAGAAGAGATGCAAGTCTGGGCAACTGGGAGGTTCCTGTATCTGCTTGGAATTACCACGGCCCTTCTAGTCACTGATCTGACCCTGGTCAGCCTGCTTTTCTTACTAGAGAAAGGAAAAATTAAGCAATTCACTTGTTGCATGTTGTTCCAAAGCAGGAGGCTTTCTCCTGGATTTGGATGGTTAGATCTCAGATGTTTCTTTTGCCCAATTTTGAGCAAGGATTTTTGGTGTCCTGCAGGTTAGGCGACTATCCTAAATGTTGGATTCTTGGGTACTGTCAAAGAGATGTAAGCAGCAAGAAAACATTTTTGTTTTGGCTGATCTTTGGGGTAGGCCAAGCAAGGTAGGAGTATTAAAGATGTAGAATGAATATGCACTCTCTAAACAGCTGCACTAAACAGCCCCTTCAGTTGTTACTGTCGGATTGCTTTTATGTGCAGTCCCTCACCCAGCTGCCAGCACCAGTGGGGTCAGCGATCCGTGGATGCGAGCTCAGGTAATGAGATGGAACAAGCGAGGAAGGACTGGTATGAGCGGCCTGGCAGTGACTTGATGGTAGTATTTAGCAGAGGGAATGAACAACTGGGAGTAATGTTGGTTGTGGGGATTTTCTGGTAGTATACCTTGGTGCAGGGAGAACAGTTGCTCAGAGCCTCTTAAAAACACTCACCAGACTGAATTCTAACAGCTAAATAGGAGAGAATCCTCTTTGGGAACTTGGTTAAGTCTAAGGAATGAGAGTGTCAGGAAGTTTCATGGTATCAGGATTTGGTTATGTGAACACCTTCCAGCAGAAAATTAAGTATTTAGAGCCATTAATATGCTTGCAAGGATAGGCGTGTGATAATCAGACATTACGAATGATTTATTGGCATAGTACTTCTAGACACAGGTCAGAATTGGAGAAATGGCGTATTTTAAAACCTGAAAACTCAGTGAACAGGCTGACAGTCCTTAACTGCTTCTTTGTTCATCAGTAATGCTGTAAGAGGCACCATTTCCCAGTGCTGAAGGTTGAGACACCTTCAGCTGTAAAATATACCAGGCCTTAGAGCAACTCAGCTGCAGCATTTCTGTCTTTAAAATTAATTGAGCTTGTAGTAGGCAGAAGGATGTAACCTCAAAGCATGACTATTACTAGAATTTTTTACATCAAAAATTTAAAAAGCTCATATAGTCTTTTCCCAGCTTCATTATATCTGGTTATTTAAAATACTTGTTCCTGAGAGACTCTTGTAATGAAAAGCTATAAGTGAGCTGGGCCAGCTGGAAGATAACTTGTTTTGGTTTGTTTACTATATACTACACCCTGTGGCTACTAGCTTTGTTTTTAAATTAATCCAAACCCCAAACATCTTAAGATCACTAAAAAGAAAGTCGTCTTGATAAACTGCTTGGATTATTTTCAGCTGACAAGAGCCATTTAATTATAAAAATTAGTATTGCCCAGTGTTCAGATGTGATTAAGTTTCAGCATTGCTCTTGAATTAAAATGGTGGATATGGTCAGAAGAAAGAGCACTTGACATTTAAAACCTTAACTGTGGAATTTTAAATTCAGGCATCATTGTTATGCATGAATTTGAAGGTTCTGTTTTTCTTATAAGAAAAAAAAAAAAGGATTAAAATTTGGTTAAGTCTGTTTATATAATATTACTTAGTTGATCAGCACAGGTCCTTCTGTGGGTATTCTGTGTAATTAGCAACTTCCAGCAGCTCAAAAGGATTAGGAGTATTTGCAAGCTATAGTATATATATAAAAAAAAAAAACTAAACAAAACCTTTAACCAAAATGGAAATATCTACAGTGTGGCTTGTACTAGGTTTAATGAAGTTAGTTAAACTCATACCTTCAGTTAAACTGGTATCATTTGCTTTAGTCTTTACGCAAATATACACACTTAGATTAGGTGGCTTGTTGCTGGTAATTCCAGTGTTGAAACGAGAAGACTGGCACACCTTAATCTGATTTAAAAGGAAGACTCCACAAACATTATGTCAGCTTTCTCCATAATAGAAAAAAGCTGTCTTCTACTCATCTAATTTGTGGTGCTGACAAGTTTTTCTTAGTCAAATTTGGATTTTTTTTTTTTTCAAGCACCATAAAGTAAGTGTAGAAATAAAGCTGTTTACTGCAATATATTAAAAAATGATTTACACACAGAATTACGTTGCTTGCAGCCAAGTGCCTCTGGGTGTATCACCAACAAATAGTGTTCCAAGACACAGAAACATGTCACACATGAAAATTTACATGTTAACTTTGTTTTATAAGAAATAGCATCTAGTACCAGACTTGTTTCATACCAATAAATGTCAAGAGTATTGCACGAGACAGGAGAGGATGATGTTAACTGAACAGAAAATGGGAAAACCAATCTTGCAAATGACCATTTTGTTCTGGAAGGTGTCTGCTGCTGGCTTTGGGAGGGAGGGAAGGCCTGCATGTTGAAGTGACTGAGCACAGCTATGGCCATTACCGTAGTGGGAGCTGTGTGGTTGCTTAATATTCTCAGTCTCCCTTGTTTCTCATAATTGCTCAGAGCTCAATTCAGATGCAACCGTGGCATTTTGTGAGGTCCTGCATTTACCTGATTTTGTTTTTTTTTTTGTGGTTTTTAAAGTCAGCTAAGATCAACAAGAATGATTAGAAGGCTTGCCTGAGATCAGACAGGAGTGACTATGGCTGGATAAGGCCCAAAATTCTCCTAGTTCCCAGACTTCAGTGTAACCACAAGACCACAGTGCTTTAGTTGAACTTCATCCTCAACTGGAACTTGGCACAAAGAATCCCAAGGAAAGAATTTTCTTCTGAAGTCTCTTCTAGATGTTCTAACTTGTTTTGTCTCTTGTATTCAACTAATTCAGGAAAAATAACTATTAGGTTCAACTGTCTAAACAAATGTTATCTGCTCCTAGATTTTTATATTTTTTTAAAAAAGTTGATAGCTTGAAGTTTGCCAGAAAGCAAGTAGTTGCGCAGTCTGCTGCTTTGAAGGACATAGACATCAATGGAAGGAAGGTATCAGTGAAGATCTTCCTCCTCTAAAGCAGAAAGCATGCTGACTGCTAATAAAATGCATTCCATTTCTGGGTACAGAGCCTTTTTTTGCCAGGTTCTTATAGTTCAAAGTGCTCCTCTTTAGCAGTTGTTTTAGTGTTTTGCTGTTTTTTCTTTTTACACAGATCTTGAGTGGGAAATGTGAAGAAAGTGTAAAGTTAAATGTGCCCCTAATGTATTAGGGATGGGGGAATAATGAATAATAACTTTAGAAAATGTTCGCCTCTTTAGGAGTTCCTTAGGATCCTACATATATTGGGTATCTTTGGTCAGCCCTCTCCAATGACAGCTGACTGACAGGACAGTTTTGGTTTTGCTTTTTAAAAAGCCACAAAAAACAATGTTCTTTTAATAATAAAAGCAACTGTTTAAATTAAATGTCATTCATGAAGCTGGCAATTCCATAGTAATATGCTTGGAGTATCTGTTACCTTCTCTTATTTCAAAAGTGAGCCACTTGAATCAAGTGCACTGACTCCCTCAGCAAGGATATTATTTTGTATTTGTAAAGCTTTTCTTCATACAGAGGTAGTGGTACAGATTTGGTTGAAGTGAGGTGGTGTGAATCCCTCAGTCTGCTGTTGCCTGTGAGCCATGAGCACAGGACAGTCTTAACAGTCTTGCCCAGAGCATGAGTGACATGGTAGACATATAAGAATTCTTTTAATTTGTGCACTTGCAACTCATTTGTGTAAGCTAGGTATCTCTACTTACTCAGTCAAGAGCTACACTTAAGTAATGGTGCTGCCCTAACTGTACTTCAGATGCAGGAGTTTTGACTATCTGTGAAAAGTTTCTAAATTTGTAATGCAAACATGCAGGTGTGCTTGTAATACTCCTGGCAGTTTTACCTGTCCTGTATGTAGCCAGTTGTGTGTTGACTTCTGCCCAACAGCCAAGGAGCTTTTTTAGCTGGAGCCTCAGTTTATCTCACTAGCTCAGCCTTGGTGCTTTTGGATCTTGCTGGCTTGGGTGTAGGTTTGTCTGTAAAAGATCATGTGGAGATACCCCCCCGGGTGGTAGGGCAGTGGCCATGGCAGCCAAGGGATGCAGCCTGCTGCTGCTGCGCCAGCAAAGAACGGACTCACAAGCTGCTGGATCTCGTAACCAAATAACAGAGCCAACATCATTAGGCTCAGACAGCTAGTAACACTGGTACTTAGAAACAGCTCAACTATTTACATACAGTATAAAAACAAAAAAGAAGTGACACTGTTTTAAATTTGATTTACCTAATTAAAAAGTTAACTTTGAGACTAATTAAAATACTGGATGTTACAACACCGTGGGAAAAGTACATCTACAGTGTATTTCGCACTGTTATTTGAGTTTTTTTTTTTTTTTTTAAAAAGGTCTTTGTGATTGGGTGTGATGTTAACTATAGAACACAGAGCCTCCTGTTGCAAGTCTAATAGTTAAAAGGGGAGTCATGTTGTGTAATTTTAGCCACAAATTATCTTAAGAAGTGGCTCTATACCGCTCTTTTTCAAAGGCGCATCAAGGTGAGTGCAACAGAATTTCACTCTAAGAAAGTCCAGGCTGACTAGAAGGTAAAACATTAAATGATGTATTGTTGAAATGTGTTGTGTGTTTTTTTTTTTTTTTTTTTTTCCCTAAGAACTTCAACCTCTGACTTTAAAAGTTATGTGACCTGCCCACCCTGAATTTGAAAACATGCTGCCTTAACATAGAGGCCTTTTTGGAAAAAACAAAACAAAACAAAACAAAACCCAAACCAACACATGCTATAAAATTAAAGGGATTATAAAGTTAGAACAGTAAAAGAGAAGCTATACTTGATACACTATAATCTAGAAATACAATTTTAAAACTTCTTTTTCCTTGAAAACAGTTGGTGCAGAGAATACTGCTGACTGTTTAATAATGTCTAAGAATAATCACTTATTTATAATAAATTAGGTCTGCAGTATAAATGAACATATGAACCTTCAAAAGAGACATTGTTACTTTTGGAGTATCTAAAATGGATTTAAACTATTTCAAGATTCATTTAATCACTTGCAATTTATATTACTTTAAGAATCTTCTATACAGCAAGTTGAACAGAAAAAAGCAAACATTCTAACAGCCCCTTTTCCCTAGAACAATTTTCATATAAGATAGTTTTAAATAGCTATTTTAGCGCGTTTGCGCGTGCTCTCTCTCCCCCTTTTTCTAAAGGTAGCACAGCCAAGAGGCAATGCAAGAATTGGCATTTGTTGACTGACTGTTTTCTTCTCCATCTGGTAAAGATAAGGGGAAGACAGACTTGTGACAGAATGTCTCAAAATGGAAAATATGAACTTGATGTTTATTTTGCTAAATCTCCAGGGACTTTGTTCTTTTCCTTGGTTATAGTTGATAAAAACCACTTCGCTTTGTGTCTGCATGTCACTCTGCTCAGTTACAAAAAGTTTTCAATTTCAGCTGTGGATGAATTTGTTTTGAAGCTTCCATTTTGCTTCACTGAACACAGTGCAAACCAAGGCAAGAAAGTTAAGTAAAATCCAAACAGGAGCTCCCAATTAAGAATATTTATGAGCAGCATTTCATATATTCCATTTTCTACTGTCCTTATTCTGGGGAGGAAGAGTCGTCATCTTCATCCTCTTCATCTTCATCATTGAATGAGCATGGAGTTTCTCCCCGTGATTCGGAGTAGCGCGATGTTGCACTGCTGGACTGTTGACTGCTAGGGGCAAGAAACTGCCCGGTTGCTAAGGCCACTTCAGCATCCAAACACAACCCTGGCTTCTCACTATCAAAACAACAGAAATGGTGAAGTTCAGAGAATTTCTCATGAAGTTTGAAGCTTTCTTTTTGGTCTCTGCTTTCCTTTAGTTAAAGAAATGCTACCAACAAGGAAAAATCCAAAATCTTTAAATTTAACACAGCTAATAGTTATGAAAACTGCTAAAATACTGGAAAGTTGCATAAAAAAAAAATATTGCGTGGCTTCTTTTTCCATAACCAATTAGTAAAATTGCTCAAGCTGAAGAAAGCTTAAAGAAGAATAAATCCATCACAGTTTTGTCAATATATAGAAATGTTTGCAATATGAAATTAAGCTAATAAATGCCCTGAGGAAGAATCTGTTCCAGAATAATCCCTCCTTCCATTTTTTAAAGTACAGGTAACCTCCAGGTAAAGTATGGTTGTTGAGATGTTGTTTGGATTGGGTTTTTGTTGGTTTTGTTTTTTGTTTTTATTTGTTTTTTAATTTAAAATTATGATTAGACTGTGTGGACTAAACTTCTTTCATGAGAGCTTAAGCAGCCGTGCATTTAGACAGAAAACATTCTTTTGTATTCTTCAGAAGTATTATTAGGCTTTTCTCTACATGTAATTACCTATTTGTAGTCCATGCCCAGGCAGGAATTTAAGGTTAATCAGGAAATCTCTGTCCTTATTATAAGGGTTTGGAAATTATTCTGTTCTTTTGAAACATAAATGCAAAATTGCTAGTATGTTCAAAATATGTTGAGTTGACCTTTCAAATATGATTATCAAGGAAGACAGAGTAAGAGACTTTTTCACAATCAATAAATCAACCATGATAGAAAACATCTAGTTTCCTGCATATAAAAGGTATGAAATAGGGCGGTTACTGAAAGTACCACAAACGTGTTACTATCCCAGAATAAAAAATGATTTTATTTACCTTGATTTAGCATCAGAAGTGCCTCCTGCTACCTCTAAATGTGAAACTGCTTGTGCTGAACTTGAAAGTAACCCTTGGTTTATCCATGAAAATCCTGCAGACATATCTAGAAGAAGGCATAATTATTATGCTAGTTACATAATTTTTTTCTTCCTTTTACAGTTTTAAGCTTTGCATTCTCTTTGCAGTTAGGATTCCTTAGTTTAGAAGAGAAGGTAGCAGTAGCTTGAGTTGATTCTATATTGTAGATGTGTCCTGCTTAATCAAGATGAAATTATATATATATATACCCCAGTGTTTGTGGATGCACTCCAGCTGTGCAGTCCCTCACACTCGGAACTGTTGTTATTTCTATGAAGCTTTTCCCTCTGTCTGAAGAGAATTCACACCATAGATGACCTCGGCTAGTAGCCGTATGCAGTCACAAGTACCTGAAATAAGAGTATTGGAGTCCTTCATGGAAACTTACTGCTACAGGTTGAGCCTCCTAATCCATTCTGACACTGCACAGAGATGGCAGTCAGCTGTGGGCACGGACAGACCGTGTCAAAGGGCTTGCACCAAGAGTACGCAAGAGAGAGCCTGTTGTATGCTGCATGTGTGATGTGTAAGTCTCCTCCCTAGGGATAGGAGATTTTAGGATTTAAATAGTCTTTCAATAATGCTGAATTCCTTGAGGTAATTTGTTAAAAGCCCTCTGAGAGATGTGAATGCGTTACTTAAAACCCTCATAGTACTTGTTTTCCAATTTCCTAACAAGTAATGCCTGTCACTTGTTTCCAGTTATGTGCATTTCTGCCAAGAAAATCAGCAAAACAAGTCAATTGACCCAATTACATTTATGGGTGGTTTAAATTTGTTTCTCAGATAAGGTGTTTCTATTGACCTACCCAAATTCTATCTCAACACAAAGTGAAAATCAAGTTATCAGGACTGTCTAGTTCTTTTTCATGGTGCTTGCATATGGTTCCAGCTGGGTGCGTTAAACCAGGAGTTACAGGCCTTACTGTTTTTTGTGCCTAACCAAACCTCTGTTTTGTACAGCACAATGGCAGTAAAATGGGATTGTATTATTCATATCTTAACCTAGAATTGGTCTATAATAGCAGATAAGAGGAATAACTAACTGTGTGTGTTACATACACTTTCTCACGTCTCCTTCTGTCTTCCTGTTAAGCTTTGCCTCGCTGAGGTTTGACGCTGCACTGCCTACCCCAGGGACTGTTTTAAGCAGGTTGTCCCAGCCACATAACTTGGCTCACCATCCACTGGGATCCACAGCCTACCTTGTTTTGTGCTGTGGAGACTCGTTAGCAGCACAGTATTGACATGACATGTTACAAAGCAAGGCTAGCACAGTTGATGTTTCTGCCAGCAGTCTTTGGAACATGACAGAAAACATTAAGTGGCAGCTTTAGGGTGACCTATGAAGACAGAATAGATGAGAATAGTTGAGTATGGCCATAGCTGGGTGGCTTTCATTAAGATTGCCCTAAATGCAGCTTTGATTTTATAGAGAACATGTTCTGACAGTCTCCTCCTGTCTTTGCAGGAGGAGGCTGAACCATGTGGAATGACTGCATTGTATTTAGATTATTGGAGTGGATTAGTGATGCATCAGTGTTGTTTCCTGGTCTTTGGAGGAGATATACCTGTGTGTACATGCTTAATATTCCAGAAGAATAACAAGTCACTGCTAGTAATCTTGCTTCTTATTAACAATTTGGTATAATAGCTAGTTAGCTTTTCTTTTTAAAGAACAAGGTAAAGTATGGATTTTACACATAAGGCAGAAAAAAGGTTCATAGACGCGTATACCTGTCTTGTACTTTCATTGCCTTATATTTCTAAATTCTATTTCCCAGTGGGCTCTGGGGTGCCAAGAAAAAGAGGAAGTTTGTGAAAAATTAGAAGTTTAAGAAGCCATTTTCTGTCTGGAAAGGAGTGTCAAAACATAAGTCTGCCTGCAGTGAGAAGACTTAGCACTTGTAGCAGAGTAGATAAATTACTAATAGTGACACTTATGAACCAGGGAAAGTAGCTTGGAGAAAACTTCCCAAGATGGTATTGTCCAATCTAAGAGTGGCATGCTTATTATGAACTAGGCATATCTGGGAGGAGGTAGACTTGGTAGAACTGTGTACTTTCCCTGAGAAGGCTCTAAAGGAGAACCCTCCATAGCCCTTAGTGGTTACTGCAAAAGTGAAAGTGCTGCACAGGATTACTGTTGATAGCTGAACAAGCTTGGTCATTCAATGGGTACTCCTCTCTCTTCAGCTCCAGCCTGTTTTCCAGTCAAGGCTTGGTATGCAGGTAGATCAGAGAGCATGTCATGCAGGGAAGAATAAAGAAGTGTTGTAATCTAGAGGTCCTAAACTGCACCACTTTCTCTGCCCGCCACTTTAGTGGGATACATACAAGTGGGATAGTGTTACAACTATTAGTGCCTCAGAATCTTTATTTCCTGCTTGTTTTATCTGTAGTCTCCATTCTAGGAGTGAAGACTCAACTGTCAAAGGACACTTGGGTTTGCATTTCCTGCCTGTAGTATACACATGGTTTAAAGGGCACAGGATGGCACTCTGCATATGGTTCTACAAGAATTTATGCTTGGCTCAGTCACTGGCATATTTCTGTTCATCCAGCAATCTCATTCCCTCCTTTACACTTCAACTGTTCTGGTTTGAACCCTTAGCTAGACAGTTCCACATGCTGAATTGTCAGAAACTCCTCTACCAGATAAAAACCCTGCAGTTTAGTACCCTGAACCAGCTCATGAAGAGGGCAGAGGAAAGTAATTGTGTCAAAATGAAGAAATGGACAGCAATGTGTAACTAGGATTGTGGCCCTGGGCTGCCGTGTTAGAAATAACATTGCTCCTTCCACAATAAGCAGCTGGCAGGTACTGCGCTTGTCGTGCAGTCTGGTGTCTGTCCATCCCTTTTTCTGGATTATCGACTCTGCTAAAGTAACACTTCAATGCTAACTGTTACTGTAAATTATGGTTAAGCTGCTGTATCGTCTACTCTCGCTCCCTCTTGGGAAACAAGCAAATGTAAGGTCAAATCACGCCAGTTTTAGAAATCTGCATTAGTTATGACAAGCAAGCGGCAGAAAAATGTGTTACAAACATCATTGAAGATACACATAATATTTTTCTTTATGGTGTGGATATGCCTTAGCCTCTGCTGATTTCAATGGGAGTCAGACACTTCAAGATCATACCAATGTAAGTACCTCCAATATGTAAGTACTTCCAATATGTATTAAAAACCCCTCATCTTTTTGCTAAAACATCAGGAAACCTGGAAAACACTGTGTTTATCAAATTAGGGCACTTGAAGAATGGCTATCAGTTGCTGAATGGAATCAGTTCAGCACTTCCAAGCAAATTATTTGACGTGTTTAATGCAACTAGAAGTTACTTTTTTTTAAAGCTGAGATGGTCCAAGTTTTTTTGTCAATTTTAAATTTAATTGAACCAGTTTAGACTTCTTTCTCCATTCCTATTAGCAAGCATTACAGTACAAACTATTGATAGTGTTTGGAGTCATACTTTTCCTGGAAAAAAAACCAGATGATCTGGCTAAGGTCAAACTAACATTGTATGGGCAATGACTTCACTACTTCGACATACTAGAACAGGACTGGTTTCTACAGCAGTTGAGCTCATGGGGTTGGCTAGTATGGGAGAAGTTTAATCTTGATTGTAATGAATTTAGTCAGTGAATAAATAAGAAACCTTGATTTGTTTTTTTTGTATAGCAGTCACTGAGGCCAGTGTACTTCTAAGTACCATCATGACAGCTATGGAAGTAACTATGAATTCTAAAAACTAGTGATGAGCCTTCCTTTTCAATACTGTTGTACTGTAAGAAGCAGCATCTAAAGACTGCCAGGGTTAAAATGGAAGGTTAAGCTTAACCGAAAATATGTAATTGGGTAAATGCTGGCTTTTCAAGTATTGTGCAAAACGTTTAAATCAGTTTCCCTTATTTGTCAGTTACTGCCATTAGAAACCTCCTTAATTGTAGATCTGTGTTGTGTAAGTAAGTAGCAAGCAACAGATAGAAGAAACCTTTAAAATAATTGTACATACTCTAGTAACAACACTTCTGGACTAATTTTTTCAGAGGCTGAAACAGCTGAATGTAACCCACATTTGAAGAGGGTATTATTATTCTGAATAAAAAGTAAAATCAATATATTTCTTGTGATTAAAATTCGAGATAGGTTTCTGGCTGCTGGTCTGCTAGTAGGGAAAAAACCCTAAGCACAACATTCTTCAAGAATATTCAATCTTAGGATCTGTTTTTTTCTGTTTAGTTTCACTGAAACAGAGTATTACTTGTTTCTCACTTGCACAGGAACATCACGGTTGTTTTGCCTTTAATGCTTTCAATAAAAAACCCCACCAGCAGTACATTGGTGTGACTGAAATTTTTTCAAAAGAAACTAAAATGAACTGCTAATCACTAGTTTAGACATGTAGTTTTATTGCTTAATCTTTAAAAGCTGGTTTTACTCAGTAAATAGTGTAATGACACAGGGTTTTTTCCAAATGTAAAGAACCCCTACTCTCTGAAGATAATGCGGGTTTAAAATTAAATAGAAATTCTAGTTTGCTCCTCAATACATGGGAGCAGTTAAGTTGAAGACTGCAAGACTAATAAAAGATGTGGGTTCTGCTCCTTTCCCCCTTTTTATCTTGGTGGTAAATCACATGGTGGGTAATTTTTAGTTGAATGAACCTGCAAGGAGCAAACCAAGATTTTTTTCAAATTCTCTTTTTGGCACCAGTGCAGCCTTACCGAGACTTAGTGTGTAATTTCAAAATTGACCGAAATTAAAATATGAAATCTTTGTTTTAAAAGCCACAGGGCAAGAGGAGCATGAAAACACAACCAAGTGTTGATAAACGTAAGTACATTTGATGTAGTTTGAAACATTAACTCATTTAAAATGTACTAATTTTAGTGAATGTAACTGAATTCTAATCTATATCCAGCAGTTTTGACATTACAAATTTTAAGAAACTGTTTAATTCTTAATTTTCTCACATGGTAAAATCAAGAATACAAAAACACGTATTGAGCTTCCTGACTACTTAACTGTATTTTTCTTAACAAAACAGAATAGCATTTTTACTATAAAGCCTGCATTTAAAAGATTCTGACATGAAGATTAAATGTTGCCAACACAAGGGAATCAACTTTAGTAAAGTTGTACAAAAATTAAAAGTCAAATGTTTGAAGTTTCCAACCTCCCTGTGTGAAAGACACAGTTTCACACTACTGTAATTTAAACAAGACCAAAGCCTAGTTAGTAGAGAAGCCTGGGCAATAGTTCTGTTCCCCCTTTCCTCAAAAAGGAAGGTCTGTAGAAACTCGAAAAAATGTTGGGCTAAATTTAAGCTTTAGGTGGATCAAGAGGAATGTAGTCTGACTAACTAAAGGAAGTGATTACTGACCTTAGCAGCGCTAGTCCAGATGCAGCACTGCAGACCTATGTTTGAGGCTATTTAAGTGTGACCTGTTCAAACAGTCTGTTCCTGTTCCACGGGACACTCGCCCTGGAACTCTTTGGAGCTTCTTGCTTTATTTAGAGAAGCTCAGTTCTCAGATGGCACTTGCTGGCCACACGTTTTATCCAAGGATTGCTAATTTCTATGTTAAGGAAGTGTGCAAATGACTGGACATGGGAGAGCCTACCATTCATGTACTGAGTACACTGAGCACATTCACACAGACACATACAGAGAATTCCCAGCAGAGCTCACCTGCCTTGGGCAAAGTAAAGTGCAAATGCAGCCAGGTCACATACAGATTACGCTCCACCAGCTGAAGATGCTCTTTCTCTTTCCTTTTCCTCCTCAACTTGGGAAGAGCTGCCTTCCAGTTTGTTCCTCCACACATCCAGTTATTCAAAATTAATATTAACCCGTGAAAAACTCTCTTTGGTGTCAATTTTGTTACTTCAGAAATAATTTCTTCATAAGGCAGCTCACTCAGAAGGTGGTTGTTATAAATCAGTGTGAATTAAGTTTACAGGACAACTATGATAAACCTTGCAAAATTAACTGTAAAAAACCTCATTTATGTACTGACCCTACATGAGCTCCCACACAATTTCAGATGTTACATACCTATGTAGGTTAATGTCATTCAATTTGCTTCAGTTATGATTTTGATCAGGAACAATATTTAGACGTTTTATCTAACTTACCTGTGATGTAGCCTTCTAAAGCTTTTGGCACCAGGGATTTTGCAGTTCTTAGGTCCTCAGCAGAGCATTTGCCTGCCTCAAGCCCAAAGGACATTCCCATTCTCTTCAGCACCTCACTGTCGTCATGAATCTCAAAAGTGTTATCGAAATTAAAGAGATACTCGAATCTGCATGTAAAAAGTCAAAGTGAGATGGTTTTGAAAAGAGCACAGTTATGCCTTTTTGCCTATTTTTCCTTTTTCGTTGGTATGCACTGAGGTAAGTGTCTGGATTCTTCATTATCTGTAAAGGGTTCTTAAGGGGAAAAAAAAATGCAGCAAATGCTTTTTCTCTTCTGCTTCTGTGACTGGCATGCCTACAGGGTTTTAAAAGGCCCTTTCGCAACTAAAGGAACTTCCCCACTGCAGGAAGAGAGTCTAAATTTTCTACCTCATTAAACAGACTCAAAGGGGAAGAGGGAGGCCGTACTAAACATGAACCTTCACCTGTAGTAAATCCAGTACTTTTAAAGGTCACCTGCAGCCCTGTCACCAAAATAACTATTTTCTTTTTGCTTCTTCTATATTTCACTTTCTGTTCTAATGTGCAACACTCCTCCTGTGAACCGACCTATTTACCTTGGTATAACTTTGCTTTTTTGGATGCATTTGGATGCAGCTAGCAAAGCAGTCTGTTCGGAGTCCTGTGTATGTTCACAACCCAGTATTTCTGCTGCAGGACTCTCAAAATGTTTTTCATTGCATATAGAAGTGGAAATAGTGATATAAAGTTAATAAGAGGTTTAAGAAAAGCAGAGGCATCTAGACTGACCTTATGCTATGATCACAGGCTATTAAAACCCCAGACAGCACTGGGCCAGGGATCACAATGTAAGGCTAGTTCCCAGTACCTCATTTTCTGCTGAGGAACCCCTTATGACTGGCAAAGCAACCTGTCCATGACATATTATCTTTAAAAATACAACTCACTGGTAGGTCTTCCATTAGCTCTCCAAGCTCGTCACATGGATTTTCTTAATAGGTTTTTTTAATGCTCATTTTCTTATACCTGATCCAGTAAGTTTGGAAGAGTTACATCTTTTTGTGCCTATACACAAAATTTTCACCTAGACATCTACATGCTTTGTACTAAGTGTAATTGCCAGTTACAGGAATCATTTCTTTTGTGACTCATATGATATTACTTGTAAAACCTATTCTTTATGCAGCTATATTTTTTTTAAGTGTAACCACATTAAAAGGGATAATAAGTGCTGTCACCACAGCTTGAATTGGTACAGTTCATCCCTGCTACCTAGTGGCGCAGCTGAAGTCACATAACTATGTTTACACAAGCAGGGGGTGGGAGACCCGTGTCATACCAAGTTGCTACTCACAAGCTGGGTAGTTAACTAAGCAATAACCGAATTCAGCTTTTACGGCACCAGATTCAAGGCTGTATTTATTGCTAACTCTACATTTCTCCTCCCATATGTTGTGGTAAAATACTGGATGCTAGAAAGGAGCATAACTCCTTTTTCCCCCCCTCCAAATTTCCAAACAAAGAAACTTAAGTAATGCTTCGGCAGTATAGTTTCTAGCAACCTGCAGCCTCTGATATATGAAGTCCTTACACTTTTACCTTAGTTGGCAAGAGCTATTTGAGGAAAAGATTTTCATCCAGGGACTTGACATGAACTCTTTTTGAACTTACGTAAATTTTTGGCATGAACAACATCAAACGCCATGATATGCATAGACTGACTGTTACAAAACCACTTGCATTCTTTTTGTCTGAAACCTGTCACCTCATGTCTTCCCTTAATGTCTCAACTTTAATAAGCAACTGTGTTCATCTGTTCTCTATGCACACTCCTCATGTCACCCATGATTTTATAGACACCTGTGGATTCACTGTCCTCTCTCTTCTAGGCCAAAGAGTCCATCTGTTCCTTCTGTGAAAGCCTCTCCATAGCTTTGGGCAGTTTTGATGCCCTCCTGCATCTCTCCTGGTTATGCTATACTCTTCCCAAGAACAAGACAGCATATAGTATTCCAGATATAAAAGCACTGTATGTACCTAGTTTTACACTGTATTTCGTACTGGTTTTCCTAATAATTCCCAGCATTATTTTGGCCATTATTGAGAAACTTGTGTTCTCACAGAATGATCTGCTGGGCTGCTATCTGATTATTCAGTGCTAAAAGCCAGGTCCAGGGGCCAATTCTGTGTATGCAAAGTTTGGGTACGGCTCCTGTCCCTTTCCCATAAGTGCAAATTTGATCAACGATGAATTTAATCTGGATTTTCTGCTTTTGCCAGCAATTATTTCTCTAAGGGTACAAAAGCCTACTTCCTACACGTTTTCTCTAATGTATAGCATTGTATCTCCAATGGCAAAATCATCTGCATTTCCTATCAGAATAAAGATGTTCTAGTTTTCCAAGTTTCTGACACAGCTATTGTGTCTGAATGCTTGATTAAAACTAGGTATTCTGGTTCCTTTCTTTTCCCTTTCTTGTAATACCTACAGCATTTATATAAAACACTGTATATACTAAATACATTTTTCCTGTTCAGGTGCCTCATCTTTTCAACATAATTTTTAACAACTTCCTTTTTATCTGAAGACTCTACGTTTCTTTACTCCAACGTTGGAAACATCATTCCCAGTATGCTGCTTGGCACCCAACTGCCTTCTCAAACTAAACAAAACTTGCCCAATACCCTCTTTGTTTTACACGTGAGACATTTCATTCTGGTTTGGCTAGATAAAGCCTGTTCTTGCGTAGGAAAAAACTTGACAAGACACAAGCCTACGTTCCTCATGATGCTAAATCCCCCTAATATGTACCATTTGCCCATGCAGTTACTTTCTTTTCTAAGATCCTCTGTAAATACAATTTTGAGTAGCTAGTGCTGTGAGCTTATCTGTTCACTGGACTTTCTAACATCACCTGCTGTTGCATCATAAATAACGACCAACCAGTGCTTTATAAAAATGTTACTTGGGAGCAGAAAGGCAAATGGAAGCCCATTACAACAGTGGGTTATTAACTGAGGCTGAAACCAGTCGAAGGGCAAGCACTCAAGCTGTCCAGTAATGTGGCTAGGCAGCACAAATACTCTCCAATAAAGTACAGAATTTGAATTCTCCAAACTGAGTGACCACTTTTGCCAACTGCCTTATTTAGCAGATCGATGTAATAGTGGTTTAAACACTAGAAGTTTCTGGCACTGTTTATCTACATACTGCTGCTGCCACTAATCAGTTGCATAAATAAAACCCACAGTGGAAAGCTTGTTTAATTTGGGTTGTACACTTAATGATTTCCAGATGACAGTAATATTGAAGCTGGGTTATATAAACTGAGATATCAACAACTTAATTTTTGTGTGCTCATTTTTAGTACTGTTTTCTTACAGTTTGAGATTGTAGAAGCGTGGTATACTTCTCTAGATCCCAAATGCCAGCTTAATCTCCAGCAACTTCAAAGCAGCAGTTCTGAAGTTTCAGTATGAAATCACTCAACTTTTCAATGACTTCAAACCTAAATATAGAGCACTGCTTAAAAGTGCAGTAACTGTATAGCATGCCTATAAAATAAGGGTATAGTTAAGCTAAATCAACATTGATCCTAAAATTCCCAACTTGATGAACTGCTGTGCAGATGGGAGTGTTCCAAAAGTTTTGTCACAGAATGTATCTGACTGCAGTCCAATTTTCTACAAAAATTCAACTTTCAATAGTATTGCTTTTTTGCATGCTGGTGCTTAGGTTACTAGAAACTGTCTTTGCTGTACGCTAATTGACTTGAAATTCCGTACAGGATTTCTATACCACAGAGAGCAATCTGTGATCTACAGTATTAAAGCAAAGCCTGCTATTTTCAGCTAACAAACTAGTTTTGATCTGATTAATAGTTAACATAACAGCACCTCATACTTTCAGCCATATTTTCACAGGATGAAAAGCATAAGTACCCAGAAGTATTTAAGTGGAAGATTTTTCAGATTAATGTAAGAGTGCAACTACAGTCCTTTGCTTACAAAGACACTATTTCAAATTTCTATATAATTTCCTTCCTTTTCTTCCTTCAGAGAGCTAGGTGCAACCTTTTTGCTATTAAAAGAAATTTTCAAAGTTGTGGTTACCACCTCTAGGATGTTACTTTTGTGTTACATGGATCACCTTGTGTTTCTGACTAAATACATTTATGGCATATTAGGAATGAAGAATTCAGAAGCACTGCCACATGGCTTCATTAAAAGCTAGTGCTATCGTAATATATAATTTCATTCAGTTATTTTTCTTGTGCAGTGAACACTCTTTGAAATGTCAATCTGAAGTGCCTTTTACAACAGTGAAAGTCAGCCTGTTTTACATTCTGGTTGTAAAGCAATGTTGATAAACTTATTCCTATTACTACTGTGATTGCATTAAACAAAAAAAAACAAAACAAAAAAAAACAAACAAACAAAAAAAAAACCACCCCAAACCATAACATCCCCTGAAGTGACAGTAGCAAATTTAAATACATAATTGCTTTTAGTAAACTAGAAAAATTCCTCTCATTTGTTCAGAGAAAAATTCCAGTCCACAAAGAAAATAAAATTCTAAAAATTGATTCCATTAACACTTACTTATCACTTGATATGCTGCAGTCTATAACAGTTCTTTTGCTAGTGTTGACTATTAGGAAAGGCAGCTGTATCGTTGAGTTCAAAGCTGGGGGGCCTTGATTTTGTTGTTCGTTTTGCTGATTTCTTTGCACCAAGTTTTTGAATGCTATTTGCTGTAGAAAGAAAGAAAAGAAAAAATCACTGACAATAAAAGAAAGATCAGTGTTTCCACCAGGAACAGAATTTAAAGACAAATTTTTCACACATATCCTGATGGTTATGCCCCCCTCACAATCCCTGAAGAAGCAGCAGGAAAGGAGCAATAAAGCTTGATGAAGTACGGTTCCCCCATTCCTTTTGAATAGGCACTGGAGTCAGAGGTCTTCTCTGTTACATGCATAATTACACCTCAGACTAGGAACTAGTTACACTGAAACAACAGTTAACAGGAATAACAGCATTCCCCCACTTCCCATGATCCATATCCTCTTTCTCATCCATCATCCTCTTTTCTCTCTGACGAGTTCTGAAATTCTCTGAAAGCTTTTAAACAGGTGATGTTTGTCACACCACTCGCTCTCTACTGAATTCTTGTATCTGACTGCGTATGTATGAAAATGTGTTTTTAGGAAATGTTATTTGAGGGATTGGAAGCCAGTGTACTTACCCATTCTGAGGCATTTGTTATTCCACTTAAGGGGAAGATGGATAGACAGAAGCCCAGAGGACTGGTAAAGCACTTGACAATGAACATAATCAAGGAAATAATGCCAGTTGTAGATAGTAAGGGAGTACAACTCTAATTTTAAGAGGGCCTGAGTTGTCTTATTTTCACCATGATAATTTCATGTTACTCTTAGAGAAGCTGCTAATTTATTAGGTCAGACAGATAGAATCAGAATTGTGCCCTAAGTAGAGAAGCATTTTTTGGTGATGAAAAAAGGATAAGCATCAGATATTTAAAAGTTTCAGTGTATATCTAATTACACTAAAATTGTATCAATATAGTTGCACCAGGAAAAAAAATGCAGCCTTATTGCCTGTAACCTCATAAAAAGAGTTTGTTTGTGTTAAAATTACTGAAAGTCTACACAGACCAACACACTTAAGAATCCTCATAACTGTACTTATAAAATGTTACTTTATAAGCAGAGATACATTTGAACTGCATTTCAGCAAAGCCAAAATTCAAGTTGTCCCAAAGGTGCGTGTCAGAATGTAAGAAAGCCGGATTTGCCAGCCTTCCACTCTTAGGATCCAGAAACATCTGTCTCCCCCCCAACAACTCTGTACACATTTACACAAGTTTAGCTTTAATTTAATTGCTTAGAATCGAAGAGGAATTTTCCAGTAAGAATTACTCAGCGAGGGTAACTCTGGGGGGCCTTGGAGTCAAAGGGGACTTGTGAGTTGCTCCCATTCCTGCCAACATCGACAAAGAAAGTCTCAGCAGAACACTTACGGAAGCTTGTGGCACATGGATGCAGCACACTGTTTTACAACAGGTAAAAATAAACCAGAAAGCGGGACTAAGAGGTCCCCCTACTACAATCCAGAAAGGTCACAAGCATGAAACTTTTCTCCCTACTATATCATAACTGCTACATAAATATAGAAAGAACTTAGGAAGTTCTAACATGCTGGATTTGCACTTGATAATTTCATTTATAGAAAAAAAGTTAAGTATACCTGCAGCAGCAGTTCTTGTAGTTGGGCTCGCTTCTGTTTTATCCTTTCAATTCGCTTCTGCTTTTCTATCTTAAAATATAAACACATCAAGATAATTACTTAGTTACCTTGTCTGTTCCATTGTGCCAGACAGAACAGGCTTTAGAGCTAGCGCACCTCAGAGCTAGCACCATTACAAAAATCCATACTTTCTTTGTAAATGGTGATGAATTCCATAATGTGGTAAATCACACAAGTCTTTTTGGCCCTACCCATTTGCCATATATTTTCTTTTTCAAACAGAATAATTGCATAGTCACATGGGTTTCTCCATAGAACATGTCTGACAAACTAATTTCTTTGTCAACAATTTTAACTGCAGTGAAGAATTATTACAAGAGACTGTATATTATTTCCCCACCCAGTCCTCCTCTTTTGTGTTGTGCACCAAGTGCCAATTAGCACCAAACTAAACACTTGCTTGAGGAGGTGCTTCAGGTTGTGGTTTTTTCCTTCCTGCCTTCCACTCCCAGAAGCGTGCACTTCCCTTCCAATGTTCTCCTAGCTGCAAGCTACTAGACATAAACGTGTGGAGCCTGGGCTCAGGATCATCACCTGCACCGTTCCAGTGACCTCCACTTTTTGTTTAGACTACTCATTTGAGATGGTTAAACTAACAAGGTTTCAACAACAAAAAGGGAGTAGAGGTAACATTTTTTACATGAGCACAGGATCCATTTCTTGCAACAGTTTTGTTAGTGCCAGTTCACTGGGCAGAGCAATCTTCAGCCCAAGCATGGAGGGCTTGGGTCAGCAGGACTGGATGCCTACTGACACTGCAGGTACAAGGGACGGCATTTTAAATAGTGCCCTGGGGCAACACTGAAAAATTGAACAGGAGTCATCATGTTTACAAGGTATTTCTCCTCATCATCCTGTTGGTGCCAGCACTGTACCACTGCTCCCAAAAATATGAAACTCATACGTTACCTTTTCATTCAACCACTGAAATTAAATGATGCAGTCTTTTAAAACTCAGCTGCCCTAAACCACCCTAGTTTATTTACAATGTTCCTTTGTGGTGGTTTACACACACCCTAGCTTTTAAAAGGCTTCCTTCAGAGCAGGGTAGATTACTTTCTTTGCTGGGACAAATCTATAACCCTTAAGTCCCATAAACAGTACAGATCTCATGTAGATACGGTTTCTACATAACATGCTTTTTTGTACCAATTTCTCACTTTTGTGCTGGTAATCTTCTTATGAAATTACACTCTAAGAAGAGTTGGCACTTTATACAGCTTTAAAAGCAAAATTAATTCTGATTTTCACACCATAAAAATGCAGTTTTATTTTCTATTGTTTTCTATTATGTCATAGGAAGCAACCTTTTAAGAAAATATGCCTAGCTTCCATTTTGTGCATATGTAATTAGAGCCTGAAACAGCAAATAGCATATGATCACTGTAGATAACACAATGAAATTGAAGTTCTATCTTTGTAACAATAACTTATACTGAAGAGAATGCATTCACATGAATGCATGTAAAATGTAGATTTATCCATAACTTAAAAAAAAAAGAATCCTGGAGTATAATGATTGAGCATGTGCATACTCCTGGGGTGGGCGTATCTTCCAAGTTGCTGTAATGGACAAGTATAGTAAAAGCTTTTTTCTTATCCCATTTAGAAAGTCAATTGATGCAAATGAATCTGCACAAAAAAAAAAGTTGTTCTGTACTAGAGAGGCACCCCACCCACCTTTAAGATATTTAACATCACAGGTATCACAAATACAATACATATTAAGATGTATTTACAGACAGTCATTACAGCACTCTGCAGTAAATACAGCAACTTGTGCTTTTTATTTCTGGAGCATTAGTCCTGAAGGACAAGCAACATTTGTGCATATAAATTCTGGCATCCCTGCAAAAACATGGTAACTCTCAGCCTGCTGAAAAAATAATGGAAATAATAAATAAGTAAACTTTTTTTTTTCCCCCCTGCCAGTTCAAAACTAGTATTTGACATCTTAGCAGCAATTACTTTCCCATGTAATTTCCTCTGAATGGCATTCCTAAGTACAGGCATTAATAGAAAACTCGTCTCCTTTCAAATGTATACCATTTTGTAAGTATAACTAACCCATAAATTCTTTTGACTTTCTTCTGGTAATTCAAACTACTACAGACTTCAATCTTAAAAGTAATCCCTGATTTATCAATGTCCACTTTTGTAAGGTAAAGATGTGTTTGTTTTGTTTTATTTTTTTTTAACTTTATACAATGTATACTAAATAAACCTGAACTAAGCATACATAAACACAGCTTTTCAGTTTATTCAAATATCAGAAGTTGTATTTTCATAGCATGGAAGTATCAAAACCAGTCAGGTTCAAACTGAAAAAAAACCCCTCTTCTAAAGTAGAGGAGCTCCATTATCACAACTTGTGACCTGTACAGAACTTCCCATCTACCTCACTTTACCTCTAGATTCTGACATTCCTGAGCTGAATTTGTAGGAAGGCCGATCCATCTGATTTCCTTCTTCTCCTTTGAAATTATATTCATTGCCATCAGGACATTAAGGGCATCATAAACTCTCCGTCTAATATTTTTCTGATCATAAGCCTGCTAAGAAAACAATGCAGCATTTATTACAACAAAAGAATTCCACAAGGGAAAAAAAAAAATTAAACTCATCCTTCATAGATAGGTAGAGAAGATAAAAAGCCAAAATGGCAGTTCACACCAGAGTGGTATTAAAATACGATGCCTTCACCTGTGCTACTACCTGGATACCTCATGAGCACTTTTGGTTACAAATGGAAGCTTCACACCTGCTTGAAGCCTCTATGCAGCAAATTCCCATCATGGCAAGTCTGTTACAGTTGAAAAGCCTGACACCACCACACATGGTGGGTACAACAGTAGCCTTTTTTAAAGGGTAATACTTTTGGTGGACTTCCCTATTTTGTTTATAATTTAGAGGGAGTTCAGTTCTTCATTTTATTTCTGTATTTTTAAATTTCAGAGGGTAAGTCTTTATATTTGGGAAATGGTTAGGCAAAGGAAAGTATAGAGTGTGGCAGGACAGTGCAGAAACAGAAGGAACAGAATTCCATGATAAACCAGACAAAATTTGTAATAAATTTCAAGACGTATTTGCTTACCGAATCTGTAGCTAGGTGGCTGTTAGAATTTGTGAATTCTGATACCAGCTCATCAGCAACTTCATTGTATGAAGTTGTTCCTTTACGTTGAACTTTTTCACATACTTTCATTGAAAAATGCCTCAGACCCTTCCCATTTTTATCTCCTTTTCTGCTTCTCTTACTGGAAGAGAAAAATAGTTATTTTTATTCATAGAATGTTAATAAGATACTTTGTTACACAGCAAAAGCTCTACCTGTTGCAACAGGAAATCAGGACTCCTGACATTATGTACTACCTAAATGAAAAATAAAACTGTTCTGCTTTTTTGAATCAGTTTCTTGTTTCTTACAAGTTGGCAAAAAAGTACACTGGGAGCCCCTTCCCCTTCTCAGTGATTTCTACATTGATAGTATTTGAAAACATGGTGCTGGGCAGATGTTTAAAAAACTGGATTTGTAATTCATCTCCAGGTAGCTTCACAAAAGAACATCCAAAAGAAGGTGGAAAACCTCACAGGGTGTTTATGTGCCTGGAAGCCAGATTTACAAGGAATACTCGTGTTTGTGCTTAAAATAGAAAGGCTTAGACATCCCTATTTACCATACAGCAGAAGACACCTTATTCTTCTAATGACCATCTTTAATATCCATGCCATCAGTTAAGACCAAGATACAAAAATCTCTTTTGTGGAGATTAAGTACATATTCACTGGGTTTTATGGTGCCAAATCAGTAACTGGCAACTGTTAGGGTTATTTTCTATTCACTTCCTTCCTCCAGAAACACAAGAACTTAGATACTGACAAAAACAGGAGCAATTGGTTTTATCACACAAGCTAGATTTGGATGAATATTTCAACAGAAACCTTTAAAAAGCTCAGCTGTGGGGTTTTTTTGTTTGTTTGTGTTTTTTTTTGTTTTGTTTTGTTTTTTAATTACAGTTTTACAAGTTAGTTTGATGATATGTTTCTGGAAGATCTGTTATTTTACAGAAAAAGGCCTAGTTCTGTAAACAGTAACAAGCCAAGGAAAACATTAAAATACAAGAACGCTTTTCAAAATTTTGAATGTATTTAAGTAAACAGACCACTGGAAAGAAATACAGAAGAAAAAGAAGAGTGGAAAGGAGCACCAGAAGATTTTAAAAAACCAACGCTCCTAATCCTTATGCTGTTACTCAATTTGAGAACTCAAGTAGCCCCTGATAGCTAAACGAATAAAACTACTTTGAATGCACTCAAAGAAGTTTCAGAAGCAAAGAAGATCATCTGTTTACAAGTATTTGTCACACTGAAAACTAGAACAATCCTGTTTCTGAAGATGCGGTGTGTTTGTTTTTCACAACTCCCAGTATCACCTGTAACAGCAAATATATTTATCAGGAGTGATAAAGCAAAGAGTAATGAATTATAACTACAAGGAAAAGCATACAACATAGCTTTTACACTGAGGAGTGATAACCACTGTAAGTGGGAGCTGGACACCCATCTCTCTGAAGGGCAGATCTGATGAAGTAAAACAGGCATGACTGTATACATAAAATGCATGTGCAATAATACTCACCTTTCTGAAAAATCTGATTCTATAAATTCTCGAGTCCGTTTTCTGTCCCTAAGAAATGACAATTCAAACTTAATGAAAATAACATTATATATTTAGACCAACAAAATCAATGTATTTGGGACCTAGCTAGGTACTACTGTTCGCTGTTACATGTTTACTGAAAAGGGAAAACAGCACACACAAAGCTCGACAAAATTTGAGATAAGGAGGTTAGGACTTTGGTGGTTGTCTGAGCTCACTGCCAGACGAGTTCTATTCCCAGTTTCAGTGTGCACTGCCCATAGGATTTCAGGGAAGCCCCTTCATCTGGAGCTATAGGAAGTACTGATGTGAGCTAGATAACCAAATCCCATCAAAAAGGAGAAGCTGGGGTCCTTTGAAAATTCCCATTTAAAATTCCTCCATGGGGAAGAAAAAGGCCTTTAAACATCACATAAGATATATTCTATATTTTCAGGACATTGGATGTTTTGGTATCTTTAAAGAAAAAACAAGATAAACCACTGAACATATGCATATTAGAGCAGATGCATACAGAGCTGAAGAGAGATACTCTGAAGAAGCAGCCGAGATGAATTTTGCATAGGAGTAGCAGTCATCTTTCATCATCGCTCAGTTTATTAGCTGTGGCAAGCAGACTTCAGAAGTTGTATTCCAAACTTGTCTTTTATTCTTGCAACTGATATAATGCACATTGCTTGAGAACTATCGATAAATTACTTCATGTTGTTACCCTGCCGTTTCAAAACCAGGGCTCACAGCAGATACTCAGACAGCTAAAAACCTATCAATGTTATGAAGGGAGCTGACAAATATAATGACTTTGAAGATCTGTGCCACGAGGCCTGCATGCGTTCGGTTGGGTGATCCAGGCCCCATCCCCTCCCGGCCTTGGCAGCCCCTGTCCATGGTGCTTAACCGTTCACACCGCGCCTGAGCAGGGCGGAAGGAGGCCGGGGCTGCTGCTCGCCCTTGGGCACCGCGACCCGGAGCGGCAGTGGAAGGAGAGCTGTGCCCTGGTCTGTACGCCAGGCTGCCAGAGGCTGTGTGGAGCCCTGAGAACGGATATGCTCTTGTCTCATTTGATTTTGGAAACAATTTGCAATCTGCAAAGAGGAATAAACAACGGGTAAAGCAAGGAGTCTGGACTTGCAATATTTTGGAACTGCCTTCAAGAAGGGCTCATCGCATAAGTCGGCAATACCACAGAGCCTTCCTCACCTCTGTTCTTCAGACAAAAATATGACCTATTGTATGGACTTTTGCAGGGATCAACACTGATCGGCCAGTCTGAAAAACATCTTGCTCCTTTTTATTGGCAAAACAATAGTTAGGATCATTAGAAATCCTGTGTCTAGATATTGGCAGTATACCAAGAGAAGGATGGTGCTTCTCCTTGGTGGTGGTGGTTGATGCACTGCAATTAGGTTTCTCTCTGGGAATCTCCATCACCCGGTTTGGATAAAGCTTCAGACAGCTACCGGGTGTTGATTCTCTGGTTTAGCAAGCTGTGAACAGACACTGTAGCTTATCCCTCCCATGGGTACTGAAAAAACTTCTGCCTGACTGCCACATTTCACAAAATTCGCAGAAACAAAGTAATCTTTGATAACTTCTTTTTCAAATAAAAATGAAAACCAAAGTGGATTCAAAAGGTATTTGAGGAGATACACACATACACAGCAAAAAAGGATCAAGCTTAAAAACTGCTCAGCCAGGCATGCGGTTTATTGACTCTATGGTGGGAATATGGCAACAGGGAAGTACAAGCCTGTGACAGTCCTTGCGTACAGCACAGAATGAAGAAAGTCAAGATACAAACATTATACTCTCATTCCTGCTGTTTCCTAGATGCTCAATTTTCCCACCTCTAAAGCTGGAAAGATACTACAGACATTCATCACCTGTTTACACAAATTAACCCAGATACAGAGATAAATTACTTCTTAATTTTCAGACGCAAAGCACTACATCTGTCTTGAGACAAATAAGATCAGCAGTACTGGTACTAAAAAAAAAAAAAAAAAAAAAAAAAAAAATCATTAAATACTATAAAGTCCATATTTCCTTAGAATAGATAATCATGTTACTCCGGACTACCTCAGAGCCCCATGAAAACTTGTTGCTACTGTAAAATAGTAATAAAAATACAACATTGATTACACTAGAAATTTTCCATTAGAGCTTTATTGTTAAATGCCTCTCTCCCACTGCTGGCACCTGCTGGTAAGCTCAACAGCAAAGCTACTTGGATATACCATGAACTTACAAAAAAAGTCAAGACTTCTTTTAACAGGACTCAGGAATTTGTGACTCACCATTTTCACAAAAAACAGACACTGCCACAAACCAAAACAGTGAAGTGCACAGTGCTTGTACTTCCATATTCACATGCTCCAGACATCAAAAGTGCATAATAGGTTGAAGTGCATACTCCTTCTAGTTATGCAAGAACTAGAAGCTGTAAGCCAACATGTAGATGCAACAGTATGAATAAAGGAAAAAAATCAGAACAGATCCTCAAACACCTTTAAATAAAACAAAGATCTTACCCTGGGACCCAGCCAGAAGCTTCCGTTATGTGTGTCTGTGTGACCATTGTTGGAGCTGGGTTGTATGGACCCCCAATCAGAACACTCCCTGAATTGGTCAGTCTTTGCGATGTGCTTATGATCTATGAAATTTAGAAATAAAAACCAGATGTCTTAAGAAAACAGAGATTACCACAAATAAGAAAACAGAGGTTACTACCCAAAATTCATACGAAGCATTGTACTAAGAAAAAAATAGCAATTCTGTACCAGATGCAAGCTGCAGTCAAAATATACAAAGAGATGTCATCAGAAGATCTTCACACATAAAAGTACTAATCTACTCATCTACTGATCTAGTCATCTACTAATTGTACCATATTACTGTATTCATAAGGGCAAGATCTAGACAAATAGAAATAAGTTCTAAGTATGGCAGATAGGATCTGTACTTAAATACAACTAGTTGTTTCTTTGAGATTACATCTAGGCAACTTCTTGATCACTGTAACCAATAAAGCCTCCTTCCCAATGGATTTGTCTCTTGCAATTCTCTGTCTTTGGTAGAACCAAAGACAATCTGAGCTGCAGGCAAAGTATTCCCTGCAGTTGCTAGCGTTCACAACATCACAGCACCATAGCACATCATAGCATCCACCGAGCTAATAGCACAACACTACCTGTGGAATTAAATGTAGAATCTGCACAGTATAAATAGAATTTACATTTATTCAAACCTGGTGAAATTGCCTGTACAGTGGTTGTTACCACTAAGACAGCTGGTCTCATTTTTAAATCACATCTAAGTTCATTCTTTAATGCAGGTCACCATAAGAATTTAGATAGTATTTAAAAATGAAACAGTATTAATTAGTCTTTAAAATAAAACATGTTAAATTTTTATTTCAGTACGTTAAGATTCATGCCATAGCTTCTTGGACAGTGCTTTTTATTCATATATCTTATATTGCTTCCATAAAGTTTACTTTATTCCATTTGTTAATGACATTTTGAGTACCTACTGTATTAAACTTTGTAGTTTCCTTTACTACCTAGCTTACCCAACACCCACATAGGATGCTTTGTTTGATATCCAACGATATTGTTTAAACAAGTAGAAGAAAATGGTATCTGAAGAATTTCCCATTTCCTCAGCTCACTGAGCATTACATCACATCCCTCCTGAGACAACACCATGATGACATGTATGTATTTTTTTTATCTTAAAGACATAAACTTAACTTATTTTTGCAAGTGGATAGCTTGACAAAAATAAGTGAAAACAGAAATTTAGGAAAACCAAAACACAGGTGGAAGTTAGATATTTACTGGTTGACCCTGGAGAAGAAAAGATCCCTGGCTGGTGGCTTTACACGCTGCCTGCAGGTACAGGAGCGGTACCAACTTACTGCTACATTGGCTTAAAGTCAGAAACATTTTGTGATAGAATGATTAAGATTTAAAAGCTTGCTTAAGTTTAGCACTGGTGTTACACCAGTGCTAAAGTGAGAATCAGTAATGCAGTATTTCAATTAAACGCCAATCCAATTCAGTAACTTTTTATATCAATTTCTTGCAACACTATAAATAACGTTTATTTGCAGTAAGCATATGGTTCTGCCAGCATACAGCTGACATATGCCAGGGAGAAAAGATGTGAACTATTTTGTATACTGAAATGCATTTCACTGCATTCCGCCCTCGCTGAGATTTCACACGGCTCTCCTGATGCCGTGTAAATCACAGCTCAAATGTGTCATAAAGGAGCATTTGCTGTCCACTCTCCTTATCATTTTCTTGTGACACCCGCTATACTAAACTGAGGTGGCAAAATCTCTCTGGGGCGTTTCCAGGCCCGACCGGTGCCATGTCTCGTCTCCGTCCCTTGGTGCCAGCCGGGGGAGGGGCCGCCCGGCGCCCCGGAGCCCCTGCCCACGGCCAGGCCGCCCTGCCCAGCACTGGCACCGGAACCCTCCTGGCTGCAGCTCAGGGCTAAAACTGCAAGTTCTTGGACACAGACGTCACAGGTATGCAAATCAGTGTTATGTCAGTGTCCCTTCTAAATTTACTATTGATTGTTTGCTTTCACAAAAACACTACACTGAATATTTTCAGAGGACTAATTCCATCTTCTCTTAACAGCAAACATTTTTCCAGCGTGCCTCAAGTAATCACATAAATTCACTGCACAACCATAAAACAGAAAAAGAAAACCTTACCTTGATTTAGCAAAGAGAGCATCTGTAGGGTGTTTTAAATCCCTGAAATTAAGCACTAACATTTTGTCAATAATACTTCTGCTGTTAAATTTACACCTACAGACTGAATCTCAAGGAAATGTAACAAACACCCATGCACAAGAATCCAGCCTGCAGATTGTGCCGATTCCTTTGTTTGCACAGCTGTACCCTAAGGGACTCGGGCCAAGAGTCACCATTCAGCCAGCAGCCCACTCCGCTGATCCTGCGGGTGCCTGCTGGTTTGAGGGACCTGGAGCAGCCGCAAGGGCTGTAACCTACAGTGATTAAATAAAGCCAAAAACCCCTCGTGGCAGCAGGATGTTCCTAACATGGGTGAGATGCCAAAGGAGTGCCAACCTTCCCACTGTTAAGAACCCGACATTCTCTTGTAAGTGGTCTGGGACACAACACCGCTGTACACTGGTTGTCTTAGGAGGCCTGTGTTAATTTTTCTGAATATAGATCTATGCTTGCAAAGCAGCAGAATAAAATAATAATTAAAAAAAATTAAATTAAAAGAAGACATGATGTGTGTCACACCATGGCAGTAGCTTTTGCAACCTCCACCTGCTACAGAACCTAAACTGTAACTAGGGTTCACTTAAACCAAAAGCAGGGCCTTGAGAAGTCACTTGTAAGAGTAGGAAACTGCATTAACTGACTGCTCTCCCCTGTTTTTGGCTATTATTTATCGCACTCACAAAACGCGTTTTTTGTAGTAGAAATGCTACATGGTCCAGTGATACTTGCATCAGTACCCAGGCACTGAGGAACACTGCTCACTGGCAGACAGTCGGTGGCCAGTACCTCCGACAGAGAGCTCTGCACAGCGGGGATGCAGCCCGGGGCACTGGCTGTAATGCCAGTACTGAAGAATGGTAATAACTGCTGATGTGAAAAAAACCACCACAATTATTTATAAAACACATCAAATAGTTCTTGTACTCAGGCTAAGTGCTTGGCAAGCAGGCATCAGGCTACTAGAAACAGTTCACTGTATTGTCCATTTAGTTATTTGGCCACCAGAAAAAGAAGTTTTTCTCAAAACCAGATCCAAAATCCCTGAAACAGCAATATACACTTATATACAGTTATCATTGGCAGAAAAAGACAGTTTTAAGAAAATAGTTTCAACAAGTTAAATCTCTAGTGACACATCTGAGACATTTAGTCTTTGACAATGACGAAGATTTACTGGTAAGAACATGACTCAAAATATTCAAAGAGTATCAGTAACATTCTTAATATATATAACTCTTTTTAATACATTTTTGAGTAATAGTTAAAATGCCAACTGGTGAAGGTGTTTCAATGTCTGTTCAAAGCCATGAAGGTGGGTATCCCCTAAGATCAGGTACAAGATCACTGTTGGGAGTGGCAGTTCTGGCATGCCAGGCTCGTTCACCCTCACAGCATCCCCTTTCCACCCAGGTGGGGCACTTCTGCCTTTGCAGCTGAGGCAGGAAGCAGCAAGTTCCTAGCACTGTTCACATCTTTGGTTTTTATGTTTCCATATTACACCGGCAGGAAGTCACGCAGCTAGTTACACAAGTTAGCATTACCGGAGTTGCAAAACTTACCATTTGGGGTCCAACATTCACATTGATTGGTCCTAAGGTTTTTGGCAAAATCTTAGTTGGGGAATTGGTGCTGGGAACTGGTAATGTGATTATTGAAATATTACCTAAAAAGAGCAGTGAAAAGAGAGTTTTAAATTACTTCCTTATTAACCTCTGAATAATACTTTGGCAAATCCTCACATAATTTTAACGTTTTGGAATCAGGTTAGCTTTTTTGTCTCATAAACTGCAAACACACCCTCAAACAACAGCCTCCGGACCTTTTAGCAGATATCACAAGGACACCTCATAAAACTACACCTTCACTATTTTGCCTTTAAAATTACATTTTAGTATTTTATTTCCAGAAACAATTTCTCATTGTTTAAGACAAAGAGCACACGGCCTGCCATACCTCAGCATTAGAAGTTAAAATTAGTAAGTCAGCATACAAAATATGTATCCGTGTATCTTCATAGCCTTAACCATTGCTCATCTGACTATACTAACGTATTCTATAAAGATCAGTAAGCCTGTCACAGCCTATCGCTGTAGTAAATGATGCCTTTACAACCTACCTACGGTAACGGAGCAGGCAGCTGGGTGTCCAGCCAAGCATGCCATCTCTAACCCTGTGTGTTCTCATCCCAAGACATTTATCATTTTTGTGATCCCGGACTATTTAGGGATCTAACTCATCCTGCCCTCACACACAGAAGCACAGCTCTATGCCGAGAGCCTCACAGATGCTGCTGCTCCTCCTCTATTCCAAATCATATCTTACAATCTTGATTATTCAGACTTAATGTCTTAATCAAAACTGTCATGCAGCACTACCATTAGCTCATGAGTGTTCAAACTGTTGTACACAAGGCACTCAAAGCAGTGAACACACTTATTTATCCATTGGCATAGTGGCAGCAGTAGCTCCTGTCCCTATGACAGTTTCAAAGCAAGAGAGCTGGGAATGGATCAATCACATACCTCCCCCCACTCTTACACACAGCCTATTCAAAATGGGGAATGCCAGTGGTGGGTCTGGAGGCAAAAATCAAACACAAGGAAGAGCTGCCAGTGCCTCGTCATCCAGACTCAGCTTGGGTCTACCAGGGTTCATGAGCCATAAGGACAAGGACTGGCCCCCGAAGAGCTACTTACGCCCTCGGGTGTTTGTCAGACAGGGGCTGACAGACCCGAGGCAACACGTTCCTTCGGGATAGCGCAGACACCAGCCCTCACCCCTGCCCTGCCCTGCGCCCCTTCCACAGGAGCTGGTCAACATTCAGCTTAGCCCAGATGGTCCCAAGCCAACTCAGTGCTGTTTGACATCTCTGTTCCCTGGTCTTTTCTCATACAACCTGCTCTTCTCCACTGCCCACTTGTCTCTTCTCTCTTAGTCCTGAACCATGGTCTTTTTTTTAAATTTTATTTTATTTATTTTAGTAGACCTGTGTTCTGCCATGAGGTGTCTGGAAAAATCATAAATTCAACAGTGTAACTTCTCTGTAATATGAAGCAGAAGCAACACAATTGAGAGAAAAAGAATGCTTAAAAAAGGACTTTCTGTAGCTACAGCACAGAAGTAGGAAAGATGTAGACATACACAAAGTATCACCTTTATAAAAAATGAGCAGAGGTATAAGAAATATTTACAATTTGAGACAATGATGTCCTAATATTCTGTGTAAATTCCTTTGACATCTGGAGTAACACTACTACTAAATATTGATTTTCCAAAAGGCAGATCTGTATCAGAGAAAATCTTCAGAAGCAGCTTGCTGCTTTTCTATTCAATAAATCAACAATTTATTCAGTCACCTAAAACCCCCCAACTTATAAAACCCACATACTCACAAACCCAGCCCCACAGTAAATCCTTGCTCTATTATGAAACACCATTTGTGAGGTAGTATCAGAGTACACAAGACAACAGTAATTCATGGTTTACATACACTGCATTCCCATTTTGAGCTCAAAATAGTTTTCTAAACTGGCTGGTTGTCAATTTCACCTTTGCTACAGGATTTTGCCCAGGATTTCCTGAGCTGTGCTAACATATTCTCATTAAAACCTCGTCTCCCCCCTCGCTGCAGGCAGTTTTTTCATCAGTGACGTGCCTGTCACTTCCCAGGACCACTGCAGAAATTTTCCTCTTTTCTGCTGCAGCTGAAACTTTTGACCCCTTTTTCTCCCATGTCAGCTCTCATGCTACTTCTACTTGTCCCTTTTCTTACCAGGGAAAAGAAACAAATTACCTCCTCTGGTGCCCACAACATAATGTCACATGGCAAAGTACAGTAAAATTCTGAAATGTCAGCTTTGGCTTACAGTTCTCTTACAACAGGCCTACACCACAGTCATCTCCAGCAACACTTCCCAGCCTGCAAGAGGCACCATTACATCATGTTTCACAGTGTAAGATTGAGCCATGTCAGACTTGCTGTACTGCACAATTAGCACTGCTGGTGTGCAGTCACATCCACACACCTACCCACTGCCCCACATCAACTGCTGCACACGATTTGTTTCTTTCTCAGCATTCGGCACGTAGATTGTAATCTGTTTGCACTGGCAATAGTTTTTAACATATGTCTGTATATACCTCCCCTCGCACACACATGCAGACTCTCTGAACACTGTAGCTTAAAAATACAATACCCGTGGCCAAAGCCACACACAACCACCAGATTTACTGTAGCAGCCCTGGAAAAATCACTAATTAAGAGCTACTGCTGCACCGTGCCTTCATTTACAAGGCTACTTAGATAAACGTATAATGTGACCATTAGGGCAACTTTAGCAAATACACGGGTTGTTCAAATTACTTGATCTTGATTTAAAAAAGACAGTCACTTACATATGCCATATGTTTAAAAGTCTTTTTGGCTAGAGTTACTGTCAGTAAGAAAGAGCTTTACCTTTTAATTCAAAATCCCCGTTTGGCAGTAGCAGTACCAAAATGATCTTGAGAGTTGATCAAGTTTTTGAATAAATGTTTCCCTGACCTTGTCCTTCTTTTAAAATTTCTTTATAAGTAAATATAAATACATGAATGTGTAGACTTTAAACGCAGATAGGATGGAAAGGGACCAGTTTCTTTTTATGAGTGAAGGCTCTCTCATCCACCATGGACAGAAGGAAAGGGCAACCAAATTCTTCACAAAAAGAGGTAATTCTGTGTGTTTGTCAGCAGTTTAAAAAGCAGTAAACAAAAAGTTTTATCACTTACAACTAAAATATTCCCTCCCTCCTGATTTGTTTTTTGGTTTTTTTTTTGTTTTTTTTTTTCCCCCCAAATAGTGTCATAGTACAGATACTCATGTGACCTCAAGTGCTCTGAATATTTAATGGTGGAAGCACCACCTTCCCATCTCTCTCCACAGCAAACATGACAGTTGGTTCAGCTGCTGCAAAAAGTTAATGCGTTTCCAAACAGATCACATCAGCACCCCAACCTGAAGAGACAGATTTTGCAGTCAGCATCACCAGCGCCACTACTATTCTCTAAACAAAGAGAAATCTGATTTCCAAGAGCATCCCATCCTGCCCTCACGCAGCGGCAGCCCAGGCCCAAGGGACACAGCTGCCACTGAAAGACCTGGAGCTGACCAGGACCAGTCCCAGCACAACAAGAACATCACCACAAGCTGGAAACTGCCAAAACAAGTATAACCAGCTCAAAGAGCAGGAGCTTGCTAAGATGACTAGCTGTATTTTACACCAAATTTTTGAGGTTAGTGCACCTCTGTTTGCTGAAGAGTTGTTAATTTCTGAAGTTTTGAAGGTAGGGTAGTATCACAAAACAGGAAGCATCAACAGGAATAATCCCTTCAAGTCTTATTTATAAAACAGCATTGAAAAAGTAGAAAGAGGAAGTAGTTGTCACACTGTAGATCACCTAAAAATTATTCAACAGATTTCTGTATTCAACTTAAAGCAGAAATATCATCAAACCTATTATATATACTTGATCACACAGCAACTGCAAAGGCTTTAAACACAATAGAATTCCAAATTAATACCAGCTCTTAATAGCAGCCATCATTTGGGGGCAAAAAAAGATTACATTGATTTATGTTCCACTGAAAAACAGCACTGCGTACAGTGATAAGCTGAACACAATGAGACCCATTAGCCTCCTAGTCACGCTAATCTTTCTGCGTGGATGAAAGAGGTCAGCAGAGATGGATCAAACTAGAATGACTTGTATAATACTACTCAATTCTTATATAATGTTTCTTGGCAGTACTTTCAAAGCACAAAGGAGGTCACTGTCATTAGTCCCATTTTACCTATGGAAAACTGAGCACATGGGAAAGAAACCCACTTAAAACTCTCATAGAGAGGTTTTAACTGCAATATATATAAACTACCACAAACTGAGCATGTTCGTCACCAATGCACATTCAAAATAACAATCTGTCAGTGGACATATGGTTCTCAGAAAAAAAAGCATTTAGCTTCTATATAAATTATCCTTCCATCCCTCGGCCACCACTATGGTTGTTTCTCACAGAGAAAAAACAGTGTTATTATTCTTTCATATTTAGAAACACATTATCACTAAGTAACTATTATTCTTCCTGGCATTTGATAAATATTTTTACTTGCACGCACAAAGAAAAATTCAATTTAAATGATCTTTGGCTTCAAGCAATCACACAACAAAGTTATTCATGTTTATATGTACATGTATACTCACATGCACACACTAACTAACCATCCCACAAGATGAACTTTAAATTGTTATGTGGTATCCTAAACATCTTAACTTCATACAAACCACACGGACTCCTGTACAAATATGAAGCTAAAGAGGTTTCAGTGATTTTTTTCCCCCATATAACTAAATCTGTCAGGTCTGCAGCTTAGTTGCAAAGATAATCAGAAACAATGTCAACCTGATAATCTATAGAATCTGTCACAGCCAGTTTGAAGGAAACCATAGCTGATGGGAAGCACAGACCAACCAGCTGGTTCACACACAATGCGTACACCAACAAAAAAAGTCTTTGAATTTTTAGACAAAATGCCAGGGAAGTATTGGTAGTCTGGATTTCATATTCAGAGGTCTGAAACAAACGTCCACATCTCTTAAAGTGTATCAGTGAACAGCCATTTTAAATAATACAGCCTATGACTTGACAGTAATGGCAAAAAAAACCAGTTCAGTTGTGAAACACTGGAAGTCCATCAGGATATTTTGCAATAACATGTGATGTGTCCTCAGGGTCCTCTATTGCACTAAAACGTAGATTAACTCCAAGACCACGACACAGTATTATAAAAGCATATAGAAAAAAAATATTAAAATGATATGAGTATGCATGTATTTTCTTGGTACATTTCTTCATTTGTTTATTGCACAAACTTACTAGGCTATAAACCTAACTTTAAAAATTCCATAGTCTGTAGAAGCACATACATATCTAGAAATACATCAAATCAGAGATCTGTAGAAAAGAAAAAAACAAAACGGGGCAGACAATATTTCAGTCTACTTCAGGCTTACACTGACCAGTGCATTTTCAGTCTTTTACTGTTCAACTGAAGACAAATTTGTAGGAGTTAACAATTGTATGAATCTCAAAGCACCAAAGAACCAAATCTGCCATCTTTATCATTTTAGCACATCTCTTTAAGCACACAATGAACTCCCAGCACTCTTCAGGTCTTGAGTTGGAACCCCCTAAAGCCCTGGTCAGATATTCAGCACGCTGCCACTAAAATTCATTTATTCAGGCCTCATCACCAATGCTCATTCCTGCCCGCAAGCCAGAGCAGCCACAGCTATGGCTATGCAGTGAACTTGCCTTCTTTTCCTTTGGCAAGGGGGAACAATGGTTATTTTTCAGCTGAATCTGTTCCCAGGTCCAGTGAACTGCTCAGCCACCTGCACAGCTATGCTGGCACTAAGCAAAAGGAAAATGTTTAAAAGCAGCTGTGAGGCAACCAGAGCCAACTTAACTGGCACTCTTGCCAGAGAAGATGTCTATCAAAGCAAACAAAAGATTACATCACAAGGAGAGGCAGAAAATAGTAAACATATTAAATACAAAAAAAAAAAAAAAAAGGAAAAAAAGAGACACCTGCCTCACTGCTTACTCTACAGTAGCATAGACATATGACACTCCTGTGCACTGAGAAGTTTCTAAAACACCAGCCCTATCAGGATTTAGTAAAAATTAGGTACTTCATAAAAAGAAGACATATTGAAACACAGTTCATTGTGAAGTTGTATTATAAGTGAAGATTCCCACCTAAAGCAATCTGGATTGCAATTTGATCTGATTAAGGGATCCTCCCTCATGGAGCCTGTTGCAAGACTGGTGGTCTAGAGCTGGACTCTTCCTTTTCCCTCCACAGCAATAAACAGAGAACACCATGTAAATTCATAGAATTTAAGAATATAGTAATAAAAAAACATTAACTAAGGACAGTATGATTCACTAAAACTACTGTTAGTCTACCTTATACATTTTAAGATAAGAATCAAATATATCACTCACAGTCAACCAGCTGAAAATAGTCGCTTCTTTCTTCCACACCTGATTAACTAATGGCTACCAACTCACTGTAGACAAAAATGGATCAGTACCCAGTGTCTTCATTTGGATACATACACACTGAGTCAGCCAACAGATTTTGTTTAGGAGGCAAACAGAATGGTTACCCTATGAAATAAACTCATTTTTTATTTGGAAGAGGATTTCCCCATGAAGGATAAAATATGGTTTCAGTGACTTTTATGGCTTTTTTTTTTACAGGCATTTACAAATCTAGAGCTCTTTAAATTTTCAGGTCATTATCTATTGAAAATTAAGCTTGTGCCCTAGGTGACTTCTCTGTGTATTTAAGTGACGTGATTTACTTTTCAGAATATCCCTTACTTGCAGGTCATGTATGTCACATATTTTTAAAATAAACTAAAAGTATGCCAAAACATGACCTTGAAAACAGTATAATTAAAAATGCAACTATCAAATACAAGTTAATCCTTACTAGACTTTTTTCCATTTATATCAGATGTATTACCTCTTCATTCCTACCAGCAGCTGTGAGCTCTGAATGAAAAAACCTTGTTACAGGAGACATCTTGATTTTTTTAGAAATGAATTCTCATTGGGAGTTTCCTAGCTCAAAGCCCAGTAAGATTTTTTTTTTCCTCAAAACAAGCATTCCTGATCCTTTCTACTGATGTTGCTGTTTTTAACTGTAATAGTTTGATCAACCCCCCCAACTTCTTATGAAAACATTAACTCAGATCTATATCTCCCCCAAACATAAACTAACTATTCTTGCTAAAATATGTACTTAACAAGCAAAGTTACAAGAACCTGAAGACAGAATCACAGAGCAGTTGGGAGGGACCTCTGGAGGTCATCTTGTTCAGCCCTCCCGCTCAAACTGGGTCAGCCAGAGCAGGCTGCCCAGGACCACGTCCAGACGGCTTCTGAATATCTCCAAGGATGGAGGCTCCACAGCCTCTCTGGGCAACCTGCGTCAGTGCTCGGTCACCCTCACAGTAAAAAAAGTGGATCCTGATGCTCACAGAAAACCTCCTGTGTCTGTGCCCACGCCTCTGGTCCCGTCACTGGGCACCACTGAGAAGACTCTGGCTCCATCCTCCATGCACCCTCCCTTCAGGTATTTATATACATTAGTAAGTTCTCCCCTGAGCCTTCTCTTCTCCAGACTACAGTCCCAGCTCTCTCAGCCTTTCTTTATGTGAGAGACGGTCCACACTCTTCATGATCTGAACGGACTTGCCTGGACTCTCCCTGCTGTGTCTGTATCTCTCACTGGGGAACCCTGCAACTGGTCCCAAGACCCCAACAGCGGCCTCGCCAGTGCTGAGTGGAGGGGATGGGTCACCTCCCTCGCCCTGCTGCCAACACTCCTCCCCACGCAGCCCAGGATACCCTCACCCTTCCTCGCGGCAAGGGCCCACTGCTCCCCACGGGCACCCCGAGTCCCTTCCTGCAGAGCCCGTACTGGTGCAGGGGCCGTTCCCCCGCCGTGATTAATTTCTCCAGCCTGCCGGGGTTCCCCTGGAACGGCAGCGCACCCCTCCGCCCCACCACGCACACTCGGGGCATTTCAAGCGCTCGTTCCCCAGAGCGCTGGCGGAGCTCTCCGCTCCCGCTACCCGGGGTCTGGCAGGAGCTCGCCCTCCGCTCGTCCCTCCGCGACGCTTCAGAGCGCTCACACCGCCGCTCCCGCCCCGCCAAGGGCCGCCGCCCGCAGTTATAACCAGGCAAGGCAGAGCTGGGGGGTCCCCGGGTGGGCCCGGGCGGGCTGAGGGCGATGGCGGCCCCCGCCCGCCTTTGTTCCCCGGGGGCGCGGTGCGGCGGGGCCAGGCAGGAGCAATCGCGCGCCGAGCCAGCCGCGGCGCAGCACGCGGCGGCGGCCCGGCCTCGCCGCCCCTCCACCGCCCCCCCCCACCCGCGGAGCCGAGCCTGTCCCGCGTGTGCCGCGCCAGCACCGCCACTCCCGCGGATATCCCGCAATTTAAACAAAACAGTGTTAATCCAGCCAGTCCCGCGCAGCAGCACGGCCACGGTAGCAGCGCCGGGAAAGAGAAGGCGTTGAAAATGTTTTTGCTGAGGCTCCAGCATCTCGAGGCAGGGCACGCCGGTATCTCGTAGGAGCGAAGCAAAGACACAAAACCCACAGCAGCCAACGGTGGTTTGTGACATGGACGGGGCGCTTTGCCAGAGCAGGAGCTGTGGCAACGGGTCCCGTTCTGCCCTCCTTGGTGGGCAGCCTCTGCCCCAGCCCACCTCACCTCAGCTGGTTCTGCAGAGCTGCACAGACCAAGCAGAAATCTTTTAAATCTGGAGTTGCTTTCAATTTTGGAGTTCTCTGCATATCTTGTTTTGTTTAAAGGAATCTTCAGGACACCTGTCACTGCAGAAGGTAACAAATTAACTCATTCCAGGTGTGTTGAATGAAGAGCACTCACCTGATGGCACCACATCTCACTGAATCTACAGCTGAGAAGCAGCAGCTTCATTGACTACTAAAATGATTTTGCAAGTAATAGCTGATTGCAAACCTTGATTTTATTACAGGGCTTCGTACCTACACAACTCTAATGATTACTCAGCAGATCAGGTAGCCTTGGGACTACTGTTTAAACTAGAACAGAGCCCTAAAAGCCAGGGACATCAACGTGGATGCACAGAGGGCAGGCGAGGCGGCTTTATGGGACAAGCAACCAAGTGGTGGTACAGACGTGCCCTCTGTTTGGAATTGGTGGGAAAAGATTCAATTTTCCATTTTTATAATATATATGAACAGGATTACAGAACTGGAAGTGTTTAACTTACTGACTTGGAATGTCTCCCAAACAGATGAAATTTTAAATTCTCCTGGTTACACATGCAACTTTTCAACGTGAACTCTACAGTATGCCTGATTTAACTAATCCACAGCTTGAAACAATCTCCCCAAAATGAAACTGTCACTATCTAACTCATTCACAAACCTCATTATACCTGTTTAAGAACTAACTTGAACTATTATACTTAATAATTTTAACAGAATGGGCCAACTCCAGAAAGCCATCTTGCCATTTAAACCAGGATTTCCCCAAATGATGGAGCGCCTTAGTTGTTGTCAATTAGCTTCACTGGGCACCAAAATTCTGCCTACACTCAGGAGTGTGTCAGCCTTGTTCACATGGAGTGTACCAGGAATTTCTCCCAAGGGGTGCAATCCATGACAAAAACACCAGAAGAATACCTAACGCATAAGTACAGATGTGTCCCCAAGGCTAAAAACAGCAACAATCATCTCTCTTCTCCAGAATGTGAGAGGAAGCATCGCTTTGGCATTCAGTAACCCACAAGTATTCATTCACTGAAGAATGAGAACCAGGGCCAATTTTTCCTGCCTGGGAGAATTAAAATGAACGTCTCTGACAGGGATAATTTTATTCACTAGTCTGCCAGGTTCTTTCAGATGAGGAAATTAAGCATAGTCAGCCCAGCTTGTGATAGCTGAACAATTTTGAGTGTAACAGTAAGAATCTACTATATCAAAGACTGAGTGAAAATGGCTTTTGGAAAGGAGATATCCAGACTGTGATACATAGAGTATTTTATCCAATGATGGTCCCTGCAATGAGCGGCCCCTGGCATTAGGAGAGTACCCTGGCCATTAGTGAAGACCCATCTGTTTGTGGCATTCCCTCTCAGATCCAAAGAGTGTTCATTTCAAGCAGAGGAAAAAACAAGCTGCAAGTGGAGATCCTTTAGCCAAAAAAGTTTGTTGCCTATGAGTTAATGGCAGCAAATGGAGGAAAGTAAATTGTTTGTTGAACAGGAATTGTTCACTAAACAAAGTGAACAACATTGCAAGTTAATGCTCTGCTGAGCACTGTGATATTTCTTCTAGGCAACACCTAGAAAGAAAAATCTAGTTCTCTTCAGAATTAAGCAGTAAGTCTTTTTATGGATTACAAATTGGGATGTATGTGCTTTGAGTCTGCATTTATCACATTTAAAACATCAAATTCCTTAGTAAAACTGTAATACATTTAGATACCATATTACATTTAAGTAGTAGAACTGCTTCTTTTTTCCAGACATCTTCTATACAATGAATAAAAAAATAATGAAAGTATCCTAAAAAGCTTGAATCAAAAAAACTACAGCAAGACCTCAGTATTTACTAACAAGCACAGGAAGCAAGCAAGCAATAAGAAAACTGAACCCCCAAATAAACCAACAACCTGTCAACCTGTTTAGGAACAGCAATTCAGATTTGAAAATCAGTAGAAGTGACACAGCAGTACTTTAAGACTTACAGATTAGATTGCAAAACCTAAGCAGTCTGTAAGCATTAACATCTCCTCTAGCAAAATAAACCTGGGAAATAGCCAGAAGTTGTGCATGGACACTACAGGTCATGGTGGGAAAGATAAATGAAGCCTGATCAAACACACTGGAACAGCAGCAACAGAGTAACTGCTTCAGATGGTTCAGGGGAAAAACTCAGGGAGAAAAGAGATTTTGAAAGTTAAGCCTGTGAATGGAAAAAAAGCAGAGAAAGTAATTTTAGAGCACAAGGGTCAAGTGATTAGCTATTTTGATTATGCATTTTTAGTGAGAAAAAGCCAGAAAATTTCCCCATCATAACTGTATCTAGTGGTGCCAGTGCTACAGAATGAGACTGCAGCTATACGAGTACAGAAAGAACAACAGCTGATTTGGTAAGTCTTTCAAGACATTCTCCTGTAGATTGAAACAGCATCCTCAAAGAGTCAGGATGCAGTCTACTGTTACTAGGCAAAGTGGTAGAGCAGTAGGTTTGCTTACAACAGTCCAGCATTTTTCAAAATTAAACCCAGTAAAACCAGGATTACAAAATAGATTTCATAGTACGATAAAATATCAGAGTTCATAAAAAAAAGGAAGACAAAATTTGCAAGGAATTTTCTATGTGCTAATGGCTCAGCACTGGAATCTGAAGTGTTCCTTTAATGCAGTATTCGTACTAAGTTAGTATGTTTGTGCTAGAGGCAAACAACAAATAAACACACACCACAAATAATTATCTTTTTGGAAAGAAAAAAAAAATAAATACAACTTTTGTAAAGAAAAATTTCTAGCACTTGAAATCTGATGCTTTCAAGATCCTTATTTGAGCCTCTCTCATTTGCTCTTGAAGATATCATAAATCCATCATGCTTCAGTCTGAGAACACTGTGAAGGCACATTATGAACAGGCCCAGATACGTAGCAATAAATTGCCTTTCTTTTTACTATAGCAAATAAGTTAACTAATGGATAAACCAATAAAAACTGTATTCATCAGAAAGTTCACAAAGCCCTATTAAGAGACAGTGGATCTGAATGCCTGTTTGGAGTTCCTTCCCCCCTCCTTAATTTCGACAGTGGACATGCCAGAAGAAGTAAAGGATACTTCAGACTGAAAGTAAGAGACAGCTTAAATACTGGCATGAAATTTTTTCTAGCTTTTATGGAATATTTGATTCTCCAAGAAGAATAAGCCAGCATGAGCAAGATGCTGTATTTCTACAGAAATGTCATTGATTTTTAATTATACCTCAAGGTTAAAAAAAAAAAAAATCATTAAAGTATAAAATTTTAGAAAATAGAGAAGAATGGAGGTAAATAATACATCTATCATCCTGAAAAAAAAATTTAATAAAGACTGGGATAAGGATCACTGAATTGGTACTACTAACAGTAATGTCCTACACTTTATAAAGTTATTCAGTTCAGTTATTTTCTGAACAAATCAATTGCTTGTCTCACATAAATTATTTGAAAATGTTGGACTTATTTTAGTCTTCTTCCCTAGTATCATGACACAATAATCACAAAATAACGAAATGCGAAGGGCAACTATCCCACCAGTGTGCAATAATTTAATTCTCAAAGGCCTAAACGCAGTCTGTAATGTTCTGCATAGTTTAGGAAACTAGGAAGATACTGTAGCTCTAGACATTTTCTGTTTAGACTCATTCTTTCAGACTCCAAAGTCTGATGCACCTAAGCTGTTGTGATGAGCCAAAAACCTTTCTTCCAGCTAGTACATGCATTTGTTTATTGCAGTGAATAACAGCAAACCAGTATTTACTCAGAAAGGTTGACTGAAGCGTTTCCTGAACTGTAAATCCTCAAGTTTTCTAATATTGATAAGGGGTTGCAGTTTTATTTTACTGGAATCCTATAGCTGTTCTGACTGCCAACACACTGGTTTAGATTAAAAGTGATTAATCTAGCAATGGTAAAATGAAACAGGATAGGACAAAATATTATTGTAAATTGTCCAGAACACTTATAGAAGTACAACAAGATATCGCTGAAGTTATTAACCTTCTCTCCCATTTGGACTACAACAGAGTCTGGGAACTTAAAGGGTAGGGTGGAAACCAGGAAATTTAGCACATTACTCACCATCAAGGAAACAAAAAAAAAGGGCTTATTTTATCCTCCAATTATTTTTACTGCACTGTCTTTCCCCCTCTGAAAACCTGAAGATCTTCCAAATCTGCTACTGGCACTTGCATGTCAGTAATAAAACATTTACCCGCATGGATGCATGAAATACATTTTGAACATTTAAATTCTGAGTCTCTCAAAACCGAACCAACCATATGCAGTGAAATCAGCAATATTACTAATTTAGTAAACGTAAGAGAGAAATAAGTCTTAATGTATGCTTCTTTTCTACGTATACAAATAGAATTCTCTTACCTTTTGTTGGACTCTGGTTCTGATCTATAAATCCTTTCAAGTCTCCATTTGTGGAAGTCACACCAACCTGAACAAAACATTTTTGAAGTCTTTAAATATTATAAACCTTT